CATCAGACCCCAAAATTTCTTCCCAGGTTAGCAGATGCATTGGCTTGGTCTTGTCTTCTGCAGCAGGATTCATTACCAACTACTTAGGACAGAGGCTTCTTTCTATCCGGGGTGCTTTCTAAATCAGTGGCTTGCAAAGTTTTTGGAAATGACTCCATTTAGGTAATTTAAGTCGAGTCTCTGCACAGGTATAGTCAGGCATAGAACAGAGAGAGCGTGCTCTTACTAGGTGTACTTTTTTAATTTTTTAATTGCTTTTTTTAAGTTACATTTGTTTATTTGATGTGTATGTGCATGTGTGCCACAGCGTCTGCATGGTATAGGGTGTGTGTGGAGGTCAGAAGACAGTTTTTGGGAGTTGGTTCTCTCCTTCTACCATGTGGGTCCCAAGGATTGAACTCAGATCATCAGGCTTGGCAGCATATGCCCTTACTGTTTTTATTTTTAGAGGTCCTTTCATGATCAATTAAACTGGCTTGTAGTATAACTCTGAAGAATCCTGTTCTGAGTTGACTTCTGCTGGGGTCTAGTGTGGGTGGAGCCACAGTTGACTGTATGGGCAGTTTTACTCATTAGTCTGCAGGACTTTTGATGATCCTAGTATTAGAGAAGTGTTACTTAAACCAAAAGACTGCCTAATTTGGTCCCATGCAGGAGAGACTTTGGGGTGGCAGACTGAAGTGAGGCGGGGACTCACAGATTTCGCCTGGCATGCCAGAAGAGCTTAGTCCTTCCAGGGCAGTTGGCCATCACCAGTATGCTCTCCCATTAACTCTCACAGTGGCCTTCCCAGTTGCCACTTGTTTATGGTGAGGACACAGCAGCATGAGACAATCCAGATGACTTGCCTAAGGTCAGAGCCGGAACTTAGACTTTGTCCTCCAGCTATAGCTCCTGCCACGGCCTCTCTATCTATAGAGTGAGCCCTGCAAGGCTGGGGATGGGGATCTCTTGAAGAGCAGACCAAATGGTGATTCTCTAGTGAGTCCTGCTTCTCCACAGGGCCCTTAGAGTGAGTAGTAAGTATTCCTCTTGTGTCTAGAGCGGGTTTGTCTGGTTGCGCACTGAGCTTACTGTGGACACCGAGATGGCTGGAGGAGAAGGGCTAGGTTTGTGGCAGGACCTTGGGACCAGGGCCATTCTGTTCGTATTTGGAAGTGCCAGTTGGCCTTTAAAAGGCTGCCTAGGATTTCAGGTTTGGGCAGGCCAGACTCTGTTGTTTTTATCATATGTCACTGTGTAGTGAGTGAAGCGTGTTGTCTGACTGTGCTCTGCCCTGCCTGCACTGAGCTTAGTATTACAAGTTTCTGTCAAGGTTGAAAGCATTACTGAAACAGAACATGATGAAATCCCTTCCAGGGGATTCCTATCTGTGAACAGCTCACATGAGTTGGTTAGAAATATGGCTGAGGACTTAATGCTTGGAGTGGGACCCAGCTTCCCCATTCTCCACTTAGGAGGTGAGGGAAGGGAGGCTCTGGTGTCTTCTCTCACTGAAGATTGGTGTGCAGATGAAATTGAGTTGAGTCAGCTCTGAATGTGAGACCTTTGGAAAGCGCTTGGCTGGTTATTGTGGTCAACTGCTGCTGCCCCTGTTGCTAGTAATAGTAAGACACACACTGGTGGGGTCTGTTGTCACTGTTGCTAGTAATAGTAAGACGCACACCGGCGGGGTCTGTTGTCACTGTTGCTAGTAATAGTAAGACACACACTGGCGGGGTCTGTTGTCACTGTTGCTAGTAAAAGACGCACACTGGCGGGGTCTGTTGTCACTGTTGCTAGTAATAGTAAGACGCCCACCGGCGGGGTCTGTTGTCACTGTTGCTAGTAAAAGACGCACACTGGCGGGGGCTGTTGTCCCTGTTGCTAGTAATAGTAAGATACACAACGGTGGGGGCTGCTGGCACTGTTGCTCGTGATAGTAAGACACACACCGGCGGGGGCTGTTGTCACTGGTGCTAGTAATAGTAAGACGCACTGGCGGGGGCTGTTGTCACTGTTGCTAGTAAAAGACGCACACTGGCGGGGGCTGTTGTCCCTGTTGCTAGTAATAGTAAGATACACAACGGTGGGGGCTGCTGGCACTGTTGCTCGTGATAGTAAGACACACACCGGCGGGGGCTGTTGTCACTGGTGCTAGTAATAGTAAGACGCACTGGCGGGGGCTGTTGTCACTGTTGCTAGTAAAAGACGCACACTGGCGGGGGCTGTTGTCCCTGTTGCTAGTAATAGTAAGATACACAACGGTGGGGGCTGCTGGCACTGTTGCTCGTGATAGTAAGACACACACCGGCGGGGGCTGTTGTCACTGGTGCTAGTAATAGTAAGACGCACTGGCGGGGGCTGTTGTCACTGTTGCTAGTAAAAGACGCACACTGGCGGGGGCTGTTGTCCCTGTTGCTAGTAATAGTAAGATACACAACGGTGGGGGCTGCTGGCACTGTTGCTCGTGATAGTAAGACACACACCGGCGGGGGCTGTTGTCACTGGTGCTAGTAATAGTAAGACGCACTGGCGGGGGCTGTTGTCACTGTTGCTAGTAAAAGACGCACACTGGCGGGGGCTGTTGTCCCTGTTGCTAGTAATAGTAAGATACACAACGGTGGGGGCTGCTGGCACTGTTGCTCGTGATAGTAAGACACACACCGGCGGGGGCTGTTGTCACTGGTGCTAGTAATAGTAAGACGCACTGGCGGGGGCTGTTGTCACTGTTGCTAGTAAAAGACGCACACTGGCGGGGGCTGTTGTCCCTGTTGCTAGTAATAGTAAGATACACAACGGTGGGGGCTGCTGGCACTGTTGCTCGTGATAGTAAGACACACACCGGCGGGGGCTGTTGTCACTGGTGCTAGTAATAGTAAGACGCACTGGCGGGGGCTGTTGTCACTGTTGCTAGTAAAAGACGCACACTGGCGGGGGCTGTTGTCCCTGTTGCTAGTAATAGTAAGATACACAACGGTGGGGGCTGCTGGCACTGTTGCTCGTGATAGTAAGACACACACCGGCGGGGGCTGTTGTCACTGGTGCTAGTAATAGTAAGACGCACTGGCGGGGGCTGTTGTCACTGTTGCTAGTAAAAGACGCACACTGGCGGGGGCTGTTGTCCCTGTTGCTAGTAATAGTAAGATACACAACGGTGGGGGCTGCTGGCACTGTTGCTCGTGATAGTAAGACACACACCGGCGGGGGCTGTTGTCACTGGTGCTAGTAATAGTAAGACGCACTGGCGGGGGCTGTTGTCACTGTTGCTAGTAAAAGACGCACACTGGCGGGGTCTGTTGTCACTGTTGCTAGTAATAGTAAGACGCACACCGGCGGGGTCTGCTTTCTCGGCCACGAATCGTGGTGTTCGCTTCCATTTACTCTTGGACTCTGCTTCATCTTCTGCTTGCAAACTTTGCAGGGCTCCTCAGATGGTGTTCAGAACTAGAGCACTTTCTCCTGTCTTACTCAGTCATTTCAGGTCTGGGCAAAAGGGGGTAATGGTGCAGTCCACCCAGTTGCTGTACACCCGGGCTGTGCTGAGCGCTGCATGGCTGCCTCCTTGTTTCTGGCAGTAGCCTGCTCTGATAGTGCCCTTATCCACCTGGTGGCTGTGGGAACCAGGCTCCAGAATTCTAAGAAAGAATTTTGCCTGGGCCTATGCTGCTAGTTGGTAGACCTGTGTTTGTTCCAAGTCCCTTCTGGTTTCAGAAGCCCCCCAAACCATGGAGGACTTGGCATTTTCCCTCTCAAACCGCACATCTGTGTGCAGATATTCACAAAGGAGGCCAGTCCTCCTCAGGGTGGCAGTACGGAGGGGCCTGCAGTCTGCACTCTGACCTTGCATTGTCCTATTTGTAAGATGGGGTGACACTTGCCAGCCTGAGTTTTCAGAAAGATCAGGTGAGACAGTCAGTATCTAGACCCACAATAATGGAAAGAGGCGTCCAGATTTTGGGACTAGCCTTGGCATATATGGCACTAGGCCAGACTCAGCAGGTAAGTAGCACCTTACGGGGTGTTTGCTGCTAATTCTTGACCAAATGCCACATGCCTTAGAATCTTTGTCAGCACAGAGCCTTTTATTTTTATTAGGGTCTTACTATGTATCCCCAGCTGGCCTGAAAGTTGCTATGTAGACCAGGCTGGCCTTGATCTCACAGAGATCCGCCCGACTCTACCTCCCGAATGCTGGGATTAAAGGTGTGCGCCACCACTCCTGGCCAGCTTCTACTTTTTAGAAGCCTCAATTGGCCTTTCTGGATGAGAGAATATTTGCTTGTGAAATAATTTTCCCAGAAATAACCCTCTTGACAGCCAGTGTCAATACAGCCCATCAGCGGGACAAAGCTACTCACATCATCTGGAATAACATGGAGATCGTATGGCAGCTCCACGTGTGCCTGCCTGCTTCCCAGCTCGATTATCATTCCTTCAGGGATGGTTCTTGACTGTCATGGACAACCAGAAAACAGCCGTTTTTTATTTTGCAGGGAGCCTCAGTCGTGCATTATCCCAGAAGCACTGCTTGTTGGCTCTCCTGAGCCCTTTGCTGGGTGCTTGAATGTGGGTCACCAGACATGACTAAGTTTCTGTGGCTGCAGTTTATGGAGCAAATTAGTGACTCAGTGGGTATGGAGGTCACGTTTAAGATTTCCAAGGCATGGCACAATTATTTACCTGACAGTTTGCAGTGATGACATACCAGTAGCCATTACAGTATTCAGCTACCCATGTCTTGAGACCTCAGTGTGTGTGAAGCCTTATCGAGGGACAGAGTAGACTCCAGACCCTTTGTAATTTTGTAACCACCAGCAAGGGGAGCTTGCAGGCCTCCTGTCATAAAGCATCAGCTCCCCAGAGAGCTCTTGGACCCCTTCCCACCTCACTTTTCCTTCAGAATAGTAGAAAATATTTTCATTGAATTCGCCATTAAAATTAACTCAGTCACAGGCAACTCTTTTGCTTGATGGTATACGGATCACTGGGCCTAGAATCATCCTGGTTCTTTGTCCTAGGAATATGAAGACAAGGCTGGAAGACCAAGCAGGCCGTCCTCTCCAAAGCAGAATGTGAGGAAGAACCTGGATTTTGAGCCACTGTCCACCACGGCCCTCATCCTCGAGGACAGACCTGCGTGAGTCTTAGGAAGAATCTACTGTGTCCTGTAGGGATAAGGATGGTTTGCTGGTTACTTTCCGTGGAGGACAGGAGAGGGAAGAAGAGTGGCCGTGTCACTTGCTCCCCTGTGTCGGCACATGTTCTGTAGTGACATCACATAGCTGGTTGGGAGAACTGTCCTGCTTCATAGAAAGGTGATCAAGTTGTTTACCATTTAGGAATTCTTGGCGTGGTTACGGTGTCAGACTGGTTTGTAACTGCAAGGAACCTGCCAGCATGCTCAGGGTGCTTTGGAGGTGCCTTAGTTTACAGGACACTTCCCAGGCTGACCTGCGGAGTTCCTTGGGTGAGGCACAGCACCTCTCTGGACCTCTGCTTACCCATTGTATGATGAGATCATGTTTGGAGACCTCAATGGGTTAAGAAGTCACTGCTGATCTTCTAAGTAGAACAGTGTGCCGGGATAGAAAGTTTCCTGCTTGAGAAAGAACAGGTTGTACAACACTGGGCTAGTTCATCCAGGCTGAGATTTAGACAGCGAAGTCAGGCTAGTGAGACGGACGGCTCAATGGGTAAAGGCTCTTGCTGCCACCTTGATGACCTGAGTTTGATCCCTAGAACTCGCATGGTGGAGAGAGGTGACTTCTGTAAGTTATCCTCTGAGAGAGAGAGAGAGAGAGAGAGAGAGAGAGAGAGAGAGAGAGAGAATATAATTATTTAAAGCAGGTGACATCTAATGAGGAATGCATCTACTGTCCTTTCCTGGTTCTTGGAATAGGGAATAGGGGATCCTGAAGAGGAGAACGGAGCATTAGAGAAAGGCCACTGTGTGAAGACCGGGCCGTTAGCGCTCTGACTGGGGGTCTTGCTCCCTTCAGCCAGTGGCAGGTTAGACTCTCCAGGGAACGTGGCTTATGGTGCTTGAGGGGTGCAGCCAGGTGACACTGCGTCCCGTTGTCTGCCTCCAGCAGTCAGAAGCTGATTTCTGAGAGTGTCCATTTAGTGTTCTTTGGACTGTGTAAGCTTACACATGTTTGTGTGTGAACAAAGCCCGCGTGCTACAAAGCTGTAGCCGTTTCTTCCCTCATTGCCGTGACCAATTCCTGGCAAAAGAAGCTCGAGGAAAGAAGGCCTTATCCTGGCTCATAGCTCGAGGGTGTCGTCCACCGTGGTGCAGGAGTGTGGAGTGCTGGTCACGTTGCGTCTTCGGCCAGGGAGCAGCGGATGCCGATACTCATCTTGCTTCCTCCAGACCGTGGAATGGTGTCACCACATTCCTCCTTAACTAAACCAGTCTGGAAATGCCTTCAGCCACGCCCAGACGTGTGTTTCCTAAGGGATTATAGTTGACAGAATTAACCATCACAAGAGCTAATCTGAAAACCAAGCATTCAGAAAAGCAAACAAAAAAAATCCTGGCATGTGGGCGTGGTGGCGCACACTGTTAATCCCAGCACTCGGGAGGCAGAAGCAGGCAGATCTCTGTGAGTTCAAGGCCAGCCTGGTCTACATAGTGAGTTCCAGGACAGCTGGGGCTACAGGGAGACCCTGTCTCAAAAAGACCAAAAAAAAAAAAAAAACCTGGCCTCTGAATGTATTCAAACATTTACATAATGCATATTGTGAAGTCACCCTGCCGCGCCCACATGGCTTTCTGTCAAACCAGAATCCCTTTGAAGGATGCTGTGAAAAAAGTACCATGTAATGAATTGCTGTTGAAGCTGAGGTGGCTGTTTTCTTCTCTCAACTTGTCTTCATAACCCAGTTGTTTCCAGTGAACATTGTTCTTTTGTAAGAAATTGGTATTAGGGGTATAGCTCAGTGGTAGAACTCTTGACTAGCATGTGTGAGGCTCTGAGTTCAATCTCAGCTGGGCAAGGTAGCACATGCCTGTAATCCCAGCACTTGGGGGTGGCTGAGGTAGGAGGATTATCTGGGCTATATGTAAGACATGGCTCAACAAAACAAAGAACAAAACAAATATATTTTTAGTTTATGAAGTAACTGTAATCTTTTGACCTTTGAGCTTTTTACAACTTCTATGTGAATAATGCTTTAAGTGGGTTTTTTCCTCAGACTTTTATCTATTTGTAATGGTGTAAACCTATTTATTTCCTGTCAAGAAATCTCCCAGCAAAACCAGCTGAAGAGGCCCAGAGGCACAGACAGCAGTATGAAGAGATGGTGGTCCAGGCCAAGAAGCGAGGTATTGACGGGGCACGCCTCACTCTGGGATGCTGAATATTTTCTTATCTTTGGTACTCTTTAACCTTGATGAAGGCTTTAATAGTTTGAAATTGAAGATTTTACACACACACAAAAGGCATGCCTCTGTTCATTCTTGGTAGCAGGGTAATCTGTGCGAGCAGGTTATGGCTGCACACCCGTCAGCCCCACACTTGGGAAGCAGAAGCAAGTCTGAGCCACGTAACAAGACCCCACCCCTAAGAGCCACAGACTGTAGGAGAAGAGCATTCTAGAGAGGGCTTCAGCCAAGACAGCCTGCAGATACTGTTCCTTCTTGTCCTTACGAGATGTGATTGGGTCTGATAAGATCCTTTGCAATACCTAAAAAGCTCTGTGATGCTAAGGTATCTTAAAAGTACATATAATAAGCAAAATGGAATATTACTCAACCTTTAGAAGAAAAGAAAATTCTGACACATTACAGCGTGGTTGAACTTGGTTGGTCTGGAGTGAGACAAGCCAGTCACCAAACAACACATCTTGTGATTCGATTTCTATGGCGTACCAAAGGCAGAGTATCGAGATTCTTCTGAAGTAGATGGGGGCTGACAAGAGTAGGGCAGACAGAATTAGTGGCTGATGGGCACAGTTTCAGTTACGGGGAAGATGAGAAGATTCTACAAATGACAGTGGTAAGGGTCACAAAGCAAGGTGAATAAACCTGACTGAACTGTGCAGTTAGAGTGGTTATGATGGTACATTTTGTTACATCTCCCCATAATAAAAACACTAGTTGTTCTTGGGTATTCATGGCTGAGCGGTTCCAGACCCCCCAGCTGGTACCTATCTGAAGATGCTCGTCTCATATGTAAGAGGGCCTGTAGTATCTGCATATCACCTATACACATCTTCCTGTACACGTCATATCATCTCTACCCATAATATTTAATAAGATATAAATGTTATCTAAAGGTTGTTACACTATGTAAGTGCTATATTAGCAACAAGAAAGCAGTGTGTACATGTTTGGAACAGACATGATTTTTCCTCCTGAAGGAAGGAAAAAGTCTGAGGTTGACTGAGGCCATGGCTGTAGAACCCATGGATGCAGAAGTTACAGTGGCATGTATGACCAAGTGTGTGGTCTTAGTGCTGCTGTTGATACATCAAGAGTAACCAGTTGTTTGGAGTGAATTTGGGGGTCCTGTTTGGAAGGACTCGGGGGGGGGGGAGGACTAGGAGGCACTTAGTGACTTGGCAGTGTGTTCTGTTAATTTGATTAGGATGCTTTCTTGGGCTTGTGCGGTTCATGTTAATCAAATTATACTGGTACTTTTCTAAAGAAGTAAGTTATACTTAAAACGTTTACTAGGGGCTGGAGAGATGGCTCAGCGGTTAAGAACACTGGTTGTTCTTGCAGAAGACCCGGGTTTGAATCCCACCACCCACATAGCAGCTAACAACTGTCCATAACTCCAGTCCCGAGGGATCCGACAGCCTCTTCTGACCTCCTCGGGCATTGCATGACATGGGTGCATTTACCTACATGTAGGCAATATACGAATACACATAAAATAAAAATAATCAATAAAATATTTAAAAAACATTTACTAAAAGCTGGATGATGTTAAATATTCTACAGTCCGCAAGAAGAAGGGTGTGGTAGTGTGTGCTGTAGTCCCAGCACTCTGAAGTAGAAGGTGAGCTGCAGGCTTGAGGCTAGCCTGGGGCTACATAGCAAGACCCTGAGTTTCATAAATAAGTAAAACTTGGAGGGTATGGTGTGAGCATCAAGAGCGTGTGTTTGCTCTGCCTGCTGCAGTGGGGTAGTGTGCACAGAGGCCAGAGCAGGGTGTCAGGTGTCCAGACCCTGTCCACCTTGTTCTCTTACTGATCTTGGAGCTTCTGTTTTTTGGCACGGCTGGAAGCCAGCAAGCCCCAGCGGCCCTTCTGTCTGCCTTGCTCCGTGTCGGGGTTGCGGGCATGTGCAGGACCATCATTAGCTTTCAGATGAGTTTTGGAGTCCAAGCTTCAGGGCTCATGCTGCACAGCAGGTGCTCCTCCCCTCTGAGCCATGTCTCCAGCCCTAGCTCAGTGTTACTGTCCTGTGTTTCCTAAGAGGATTCTTTTAGAAACGTCACCCAACTTGAACATAGTGTGCACTGGTTGCCAATGCTTTCTTCTTGTTTTCCTGGATGACTTTCAGAGCTTAGAGAGGCCCAGAGGAGGAGAAAGCAGCTGGAGGAGAGGTGCAGGGTTGAAGACGGCATCGGGAACGCTGCCCTCACCTGGAACAACGAGGTCTTGCCTAACTGGGAAGCCATGTAAGGGTCGGCTTTGTGTGTGTGTGTGTGTGTGTGAACGCCACTTGTGTGGGGGTGCCTGTGGCGGCCAGAAGAGGTCTTCAGATCTCTTGAAGCTGGAGTTACAGGTGTACAGGTGCTGGGGATTGAACTTGGGTCCTCAGAAAGAACAGGGAGCACCCTTGACTGCTGAGTTCCCTGCACCTCTGCATCACTTTCTTGAGTTCCTTTGTAGCTGCTGTAGAGCGAGCTCCTTTGGAGCCTTTGATGGAGTGGTTTCTGCCTTGATCCCTCCCTGTTGTTCCTTGCGTGGGCGTGGGCGCAGTGATAGCCTCTTCCAGTTCCTCTCAGGAGCCTAAGCTGCTTTTGTGAACTATGTTCCCATGTCACTCCCTCCTTACAGTTTCTGTGACTTCTTGTGAGGCTCCATATGAAATCTGAAATGTGTACGTTAGCTGACAGACTTCTTCATGGGCCGGATTGACCTGCCTCCATGGATTCCGTCCCGGGGGCCACCAGGGGGAATTACTGATTTGCAGCCTCAGGGCCTCTGCATGCCCCATCCCCCGGGTCTGCCCTGCATGGAGCCTCTTCATCCTTCTCAACTTTCCATGTTCTTAGCCTTGCCCAGAGAAAATCTTCCTGCCCCGCCTTGTAGACGACGTCCTCCTGGAGTCCCCTAGCTCAAGCATGTCTTTCTCTCTGAGGGTGGAAGCTGCTCGTCTTTGATGTTGACCTGTGATGTCAGTACAGAGAACATACCGCAGAGTCTGGCAGCTGTGGCAGCCTCACTCCTGAGGGTCAGCTCTATGTTTTGTTTTCTTCCAGCATGGCCGGCACAGGCGGGGCCAGTGTGGGAGCAGCAGCGCTAAGGTGCTGGTGGGCAGCGTGGAGGCCTCTGCTCTTGACCACATGGTGCCATGCTTGGGACTCACTGACGCTCACTTGGTCTTGCTCTCGCTACAACGGCCAGATGACCTTTTTGAGGCTCCTCTAGGAAGCTGTGCCAGGCCCACAGCGCTTTTCTAGACCTTGTTCCGTCAAGGCTGAATGTTGCCCGGAAGCATCGAATGCTTTCCTTAAAATGAGACCCAGTAGCAAGTGCAGAGGTTCTCAGACTCTTGCTGCCTGACTTGTGGCAGCTGAGTCCATAGTGGACGCAGCCTGGATGCGCACAGCAGTTGCAGTTGGCTGCTGACTCCTCCAGGCACGTTGCTGGACAATTTATATTTACCTTATATACTCCTTACTGCGGCCTTGCAGGGAGGTGTTAGCCTCTGGATTTGAGAGAGCATGGTTCAGAGAAGTTGGCTGGAATTGAGATGCAGCCCAGAGCTGGTGTGCCCCTCCACACTGTATTGGGAAGCACATGGGAGCTGGTGCCGATACACTTGGCTGGGCTCTGACAGTGTGTTTGTTACAACCTGAAAATCTGAATGGTGGTGTTGTTCAGATGTCCCTGATTAGCATTCCATGGACAGTTGTGTGTGGGTCACCTGTTTCTGTAGGCTGCCCTGTGAGGCTCCTTGGATACTGCCTCCAACTCTGTAAAGAGCTACCTGGCATTCCTTACTGATACCCAGCTGTTTGCAGTCCTGCAGGAGGCTACACTATTTCTTGTGTCTGTTTTCTGTTTGGAAAGTCCTTCTAGTCCTTTATGTATGTAGACCGCTTACTGGTTACTCAGAACCTGGTGACTTGGCTTGTCTGGTTTGTGGTGTTCCCCCTCTATCCCCTGCAGTACCTGTTACAGCACTGGAAGACCAGATTTCTGTAGAACTGGGAGGGTGAGCTCCCCAAGGGAAGGGGTGGGGGCGTTTCCTTAGCTCCTGGTGCTGTCGGGTAAGGCATGTGTACAGATGAGCCTTTCTGATCGAAAGCAAACTCAGAAAATTATGCTTCCATTTGTTCAGGTGGTCCTCTAGGAAGGTTCGAGACTTATGGTGGCAGGGAATCCCTCCGAGCGTGAGAGGCAAAGTTTGGAGCTTGGCCATCGGTAACGAGTTGAACATCACCCACGGTGAGTGGCTTGAATGATCCTAGGCCTTGGGGTCCGCCCTGGAGTTCTGGGACCTCTTCTGTCCCTCTTGCCATGTTAGGGAGAACAGCATCCACTGCCATGAAGCTACCATTGAAAGGCCAGGCGACTGTTCTCTATGAGTGGCGATTGAAAGGCAGGTGCTGGGTGCTTCCATTTCCTGAGGGTTTGGAGCAGGTCTCCTGAAGAGAGCTGTAGCAAACACGGGACTCAAAGTCTCAGTTGGGTGGAGTAGGCGTAGCCTCCCATCAGAGTCCTGCAGAAGGTAGGTCTTGATCAGACATAGAAGGGGAGGTGCTGTGGTACTTGGTGTGCTTTGCTGTTTTGTGGATTTGTTTCCCCAGCCTTAATGAGGACAACATACCATGCTAGGACTGCAGTCCTTGGGGCCTTAGCATGTGAAGTTTGAGGGACTGAGATCTCTGCTCACAGTTCTCAAGTACTCAGCTCAGTAGTAGAGTGCTTGACTAGTGTGTGCAAGGCCCTGGGCATGGTGACTCATACCTGTAATCCCAGTACTTGAGAGGCTGAGGCAGCAGGGTTGAGTTCAGAACTAGCCTGGGCTATAGAGTGAGACCCTGTCTCCAAAATAAAACAACTGCCTCCCCTCCAAATCTCTCAAGTGCTCAGCCTGCATGCTCTCTGCCACATCAGCCCAGATTTACTTCCTCTTGTGTTCCTGCTGCCCTGCTCTGGTGTCGGGGAGATGGTGCCGGGATTGCACAGACTAAACATGAAGCTGAATGTGGGGGTGGTTGCTTTCTCACTGTTCCCTCCCAGTCTGGGATGAGCTGCTAGGAAGCCGGGTCTCTCCTCCTTGTTAAGGCTCCATTCCTGCCTGTGCAGTTGAGGGCAGTTGCTTTACTCTGGTGAAGATGTTCAAGTCTAAAGCGGCTTGTCTTTGCCTTAGCTCTCCACGTTATTGTGTTCACGTGACAGCCCGGCTCCTCCCATGACTGCAGCTTTTTCCTAGGCAATTTTGGCATCTTGAGTTATAGAGTGGTCAGTTAGGTGGAGACTGGCTTCCATCACGGAGGATGGCAGGGCAGTGAATTCTTCTCCAAACTTTTTCTGGCTAAATCTGTACCTGCCAAAAACTTGCTTTAAGATCTTTATGTGGGAAGGTGTATAATGTTTTAACTTGAAGAAGTAATTCTTAAAAAGCATCCTCAGAAGTTGAGGTTGAGAAAAGCTACCACGCATTTACTGGGTTATGTTCTTGAAATTCTTTTTGTAAACTCTGTCAAAAGACCTGTGTTACCAGTAAACTAGATGCAGGTGCAGTACTGTTTTTAATTTTTGGCATCTCACTGATGCCAAATTACTTACTTACATTAAAACCGCGATGGACTGGCTGATGGTAGATGTTACTCAGCAGCCTCCTGATCACATACAGGTCTCAACATCTGTCTGTACCTTGACACTGGCACACTTCGTGTACTGTGTGTTTGTCTCCATCAGTAACTGCTTTCTGTCAGCTGTCCCCACTACAGTGTCCTCAGGAAGTTGGGCCTGTGTACCTCCATCTGCTCTGTTCCTCATGGCCAGCCCAGTCTTCTGTTTGCAGCAGGCTCATGAACTGTTTGTCTAGTGAATGTACGCTCCTTATGGAGCCTTATGGTCTCTCCAAGCCAGTCTTAAGACAGTGGTCTTGCATTTTGAGTGCCAAGCATCAGCTTCTGTTCTCTACCTTCATGTCTCATTGGCTGTGGTGGTGTCGGGCAGGTCTTGGTGTGCATATTTTCCACTCGAGAAAGGTCAGGAACCGTGCCCCATACCTGTGGCCAGTGTGTGGAGTCAGGGTTCACATTCCTTCCCAGGCTGGTTCTGAAGTCTGCGTTTTGACTTTGTAAGGCCTAGAGGGTTTTTTTTGTGTGTGTGTGTGTGTGTGTGTGTGTGTGTGTGTGTGTGTGCGTGCGTGTGTGGCTGTACAATTGGAAACTTAGCTAATAGTACAAGTAAAACTTCACCCTTAAGCAGGCAGGTGACTCATGTCTGCAGTCCCGGCACTGGGGAGGCTGTGTCAGGAGAATGGCCTCAGGTTTGAGGCCATTGTGGGCTACACAGTGAGGACCAATCCAGCCTGGGCTGCTACATAGCCAGACTGCCTCAGACAGCAACAGACCAAAGCATAAGCAACAAACCCTGTTCTTAGGGTGGCTAGGCTCATACTTTGAAAGTAGGCCTCAGGGTGCTGGTGAAGGACTGAGCAGGTAGGTGTTCGTGCTCTACACAGGCCTAGTGACCTGAATTTGATCCCTGGAACCCACATGAAGGCGGAGGGAGAGAACAGACTCCAGAGTTGTTCTCTGACCTCCATATGTGTTCTATGACATGTGTGTACCCCACCTCACCCCATCATACAAACATGCACACACACAATTATAGTAAAAAAATTAATTCTTTTCTTTTTATTGGTGTTTTTGACACAGGGTCTCCCTGTAGCCCCAGCTGGCCTGAACTCACAGAGCTCTGCCTGCCTCTGCTTCCTGAGTGCTGGGGTTAAAGGTGTGTGCCACCACGCCTGGCTAATAGTAAAATTTTTTAAAAAGAGAGAAGTTGGGGCTGGGGGTCTGAGGTGAAAGTGTAGTAACTGTTCTACCTCCACAACCCCTGCCTCCAGTGCAGCTCGGGGAGACGGAGCTCTGACTCTGACTCATTCTTCCCCGAGGCTGCCAAGTTCCTCACTTGTGATGTGGAGCTCTGGTTGTCACAGGCAATAGACGTGTTTTGTTTACCCCACCAAAATGACAAAACTGGTTTTGAGCTCAGCCTCAGTTTTAGACCAAGCCTGACTTACTCTAAGAGTGAACTTTTAATGCTACTGTCAGGTTGGACTGCATCAAGTTTCCAGTTGTACAGAACAAAACTCTAGGGAGTCTATCAGAATATGAACTTCAGAATCTGTCAGCCTACCTCCTGGAAATGGAGCGGGTAGAGGTTCCAAACTGGATACTCTGGCTGCCAGCTCTGACACCTCTGCACTTCCATGTACATTGGCTTTCTGGATAATGGTACAGTGTTGTGTTTCATAACTGCACCCTCTGCCATGGCAGGCTAGCATAGATTGTGCGTGTGGTAGAGTTTTCATAAGGCTAGGACTGGATCATTAATTGCTTATTGGATTATAATAGAATTAATAGAATTTGAGTTCTGTTTTAGTAAAATATCATGACTACAGATATGTTCAGTTTTATTTTCCAAAAGTGATTGACTATCTGAAGATACTATCCTCAGAGACACAGAGAATCAGGAGGCTGGGACTCATCAGAGGCACAGGAAGCCCGAGTGGGTAGGGAACTGGGTGCTGAGAGGTACATCTAACCAAGAGGCTTGAGGCATGGATGTACCCAGGGAGCCTCTGTGCATGCACCCAGGGAGCCTGTGTGTGCTGGTCAGGTTGTTGTGTCCAGGGAACCTATGTGTGCTGTCAGGTTGATGTACCCAGGGAGCCTCAAAAAATTTTTTTTGTTTGTTATTTTTATTTTATGTGTATGAGTATATTGTCTGCTTGTGTGTCATGTAATGCTCACAGAAGTCAAAAGAGAGTATCACAGTCCCCTGGAACTGGAGTTGTAGATGGTTGTTAGCTGCCATGTGGGTGCTGGAAATTGAACCCAGGTCTTCTGCAAGAGCAGCCAGTGTTTTTAACTGCTGAGCCGTCTCTCCAGCCCCTTCTTTGTTTTTTGAATTCTCCTCACCATTTAAAATTTTAAGCATTTTTTGCAGCTTTCTATGCTATGCTCCATCTTCATATCATCTTCAATATTGTGTATGAACTTTAGAGCACTATAATTAATTTTACCCAGTTCTTGACTGTTTGATGTCGTGAAAGTGTTTTATCAATGTTGACTGTGTGTAAACACTGTCTTACACACACCGAGTCTCCTTAGTAGAGGAAGAGATGTCTTTTGGGGGCATTTGCATTTTAAAAGAACATTTTTTTGAGGTCCGGCTCTTTGGATGACTGCATATAGTGGTGACGCATCTCAGATTTTGACCCATCTCACCAAGACTTAGGTTTCCTGGCACTATTTCATATGGCCACAGGTGGAAAGCTGGAGGTACACAGTTACGGACCATAACTATGTTTATGAATATTGCTTTTCAGCATATTTTTCTGAATATAGATCATTTGCTCATACTTTCTGCATACAGCCGTTTATAGATCATCTGCTCATACTCTTCATGTATACAGCAATATTACTGCTGAGTTTGTTGCAAAGCAGCCCATGAAATTAGTTTTTTTTTTTTATCTTTTTCAAATCCCTCTATAATGTGTAACTAAATGTTTTTAAATAATTAAAAAAAAATTTACCATTATATTTTTCGGATTTTAGACTTTAGGGATTTCAACATTTAGTATTAGAGCATTTGGGATTGTTTTGTGATTAGGACTCAAACCCATTTGAAACCAGATAGAGGCTGCTCACCTCTCCCTCCGTCCATAGATGATTTATTACGTTCTTCAGTCCTTGGGCCATTTGCTCTGGATACAGAGGGGGAGTGAGAGAATTTCACCTTCTGAGAGGTAGATCAATCACAGAAGTCCGAGCAAGATAGGGATGGTTTGTAGGGGCTATCTACAGAAGAAAGTACCAAGTTCAGTGACAGTGTGTGTAGGCTTCCTTTCTAAAATATTTATTTTTATTTATTTAATTATTTATTTTTTGATCTTTTTAAGACAGGGTTTCCCCAGCTGGCCTGGAACTCATTATGTGAGATCCACCTGCCTCTGCCTCCTGAGCGCTGAGATTAAAGGCATGTGCCACCACCCCCAGCTCATTTTTATTTTATGTGTGTAAGTGTATTGCCTGATGTATGTAAGTGTACTTATGTGCAGTGCCCGCAGAGGTAAGAAGAGGGCTTCAGATGGGATGGTTGTCAGCTGCTATGTGGGTGCAGGGGATCAAGCCCAGGTCCTCTGCAAGAGCAGCCAGTGCTCTTACCTGCTGAGGCATCTCTCCAGCCCTCGTCTTCCTTTGGAATCACTGTGTCTTAAGATAGTAAAAGTGCTTTCAGGCTAAGCTGGGAGGAATTGTGAATATTCTGTTAAGTGTGCCCTGGTTCTCTTTGGTGAAGGAGATAGTTATGTTTTGTTTGCTGTTGGTAAGGAAACATGCAGGTAACTTACCTAGAGGCTTTTCTTTCAGAGCTCTTTGACATCTGTCTTGCTCGAGCCAAGGAGCGGTGGCGGACCTTCAGCACCGGAGGCTCGGAAGTGGAGAACGAAGGTACAGCCCACTCTGAAGCCTGGGGATAGCGCTTCCCTCCCAGAGCGGAATTCACCGCACTTACAGGGCAGCTAACAACTGTCCGTAACTCCAGGCCAGAGGATCCAACAGCCTCTTCTGTCCTCCGCAGGCATTGCACGACATGGGTGCACTTTCCTACATGCAGGCATAACACGCATACACACAAAATAAAAATAATAAATAAAATATTAAAAGATGGAAATTGCTTCTAAAAGAAACAGAACCCAGAAGTTCCTTGAGAGGGTTTGTACCCTAATGTGTGGTTGGGTGCTCACAACCACCCACTGCTGCCCACTGCCATTCCACTGTCTGCTTCTGTGAGTCCAACATTTGTAGTTGCACACAAATGTTATCCTGCAGCGTTTTTCTTTCTGTGGCTGGTTTATTCACTTAGCAAGTACCTGCATTAGCTTGGAACCCTGGTTCGTTGAGTGCAGGCTCCAGAGGTGACAGCCCTGCACACCTGCTAGCTAGCCTTTAGCATTGCCTGCTATGCGGAACTCGGCTTCTGTGGTTAAGCAGCAGGCCTTTGTAATGGTCTTCTGTGTTGTCTCACGTGGTATTGGAACTAAAAAATATATAAAAGATGGTTTTCAAATGTTTGAAAATATTCCGTTCCCATTTTTATTTTTTTAAGTTGACACAATTGAGGGCTAGAGAGATGGCACAGCAGTTAAAAGCACTGGCTGCTCTTGCAGAGGAATTGGGTTCTGTTGCTGGCACCCAGCTGGCAGCTCACAGCTGTCCATAACTCCAGTTCCAGTGGATCTGACACACCCTTCTGGACCATGGGCATTGCATGCACATGGTACACTTACATACATACTAGCCAAGCATACACATAAAATAAAAATTTAAAAATTAAAAATTTTCAATTTACAAAATTGTATGACGTTTTGAAGCATTTATAACTTTGTGGCATGACTGAATCTAGCTAGTTAACATACACAGGACCTTACATAGACCTCCTTCTTCCCTCCCACCCCCTCTGTCTTATAGTGCTGGGGCTGGAACTCAGTGCTTACCTGTGCTAGGCTGGCTTTCTGTTACTGAACTGTAGCCCTAGTTAGGTTTTGTTGTTGTTGTTTTCTTTGTTTCTTTTTGTTTTTTAAAGACAGGGTCTCACTTCATAGCTGTTGCTGGCCTGGACCTTGATCTGTAGTCCAGGCCGGCCTTGAACTCAAAGAGATCTGCCTACCTCTGCCTCTGCCTCTACCTCCTGAGTGCTGGGGTTTATTAAAGCTGTGAGCCCCATGTCTGGTCTTAGGATGCTTTTTAATGGTAAGAACACTTTGCCTTTCTTCTCTTGGCATTTTTCAAGGATACAGTGTGTAATTGACTAGAGTCGCTATGCTGTACATTGGAACTCTGAGGATACTCCTCTTATCCGACATTTTGCGTCTCTTGACCAGCATCTCTCTTGCTTTCCCCCCTGCGCTCCTGTGCCGAGTGCCATTCTGTTGCCTGTTTCTGAGTTCAGCATTTTTACATTGCACACACAGATGTTATCCTGCAGTGTTTGTCTTTCTGTGCCTGGTTTCTTCCCTTAGCATAATGTCCCCCAGGCTCATCCATGTTGATGTCCTTCCTCTGCAGTCCCATGGGATCCATTGTGTTGGCACCTTTTGATCCATTGATGCTGATGGTTGTGCAGGTTGATTCATTCCTTGTCTGCCATGCACAGTGCTGCGTGCACAGTGCTGCCATATACATAGACGTGCAGTTGTTTCTTCAGCATATTGATCTCATTTCCTTCAGACACACACTCAGGCGTGGGATTGCTGGATCAAATATAGTTCTGTTTTTATATTTTTGAGGCAACACATGCCAAATTCTTAGCAGAGATTCTTCAGATTGAACAGTAATTTTTTTTTTTTGTTATGATTTTCCTGAGTTCATTCGTGTGTATTTCCAAGTTGTACTAGTTTTCCTGATTGTTGTTGATGGCAAGTAATATCAAATTAGATTTTGGTTTTTCAACTCTAGAAGGTAATCTGATGGTGCTCTGCCTTGGCTGGTACCATCAGGTGTTTTGCTCCCTAGAGTGAGAGACTGCATCTGCTGTGCTCTCTCTATGAAGGTGGGCTTTGTCTTGTCAAAGTGTAATGGGTCTGTACGTCCAGAGGACTTGTCTCTGCTCCACGCTGTAAAGCTTCAGAGCTGGTAACAACCCTCTGTCTGTGCTGAGGAGTATAATGACTTTCCATCTTTTGACAGATGCTGGGTTTTCAGCAGCAGACAGAGAGGCCAGTCTGGAGCTTATTAAACTGGACATTTCTAGAACATTTCCTAATCTCTGCATTTTCCAGCAAGTAAGTGGTGGCAATTTGTCATGAGTGTGTTCTGTTTAAATTTCATACACGCTGAGCTGCATATATTTGTAGTCATGTTTGGACAGTTTGATTTTGGTGGGAAGCAGGCTAGGTATTGCTGACATTACATTTAGATATTTTAAAATGAGTGTAACATCCTTTCCAGTAAGTATTTCTGTGGCTGTGCTTCTGTTTTAAAGGTAATTGGGTCCTTTTTGCAAGTGAACATGCCAGAGCCCCGGTAGGTGACACAGGGCCTGTGGGTGGACTGCATTGTTGGAGAGTCCTTCATGGTCTTCTCTTTTTAGGACTGCAGGCAGCCAGGTGCCCTTGGTAGGATCATGCAGGGGATTTCCAGGGATCAGTGCAGCCAGTCTGGCCAGAAAGGGGATCCTCACAGCCTGGGTGTAGCCAGCATGGGTGGCTGAGCAGAGGTGGTAGGGTTTCTGAGCAGGTGGGCCAAAGCCAGCTGTGGGAGGCAGGGCAGAGATGGACCCTTGTCTTTGGATGGCAGGGGGGCAAGAGAGGCATCTCCTTAGTTGTCAGGCAGGCCAGAGCAGCCAGCGGTAGATTTCGGAGTCCTGAGCAGACCTCTTTGAAGGCCTTCTGTTTTGGGGGCCAGGAAATGTGCTCAGCAGTGTCCTTTGAACCCCCTTCCTGTGTGCTAGCTGTACTGCCAGTTCTCTATTGTCTCGCTGTGTCTGTCCCTTCCCCTTGCTTTACTTGAGAACCTAGTTTTGCAGGTCACCTCACCAGCTGCCTTCAGCTCTCCTGGCCATTTTCTTCATTTCTTTATATGCAGAGCAGTTTCAGAATCTCCAGCAGTACACTGTGGTGCCCAGGTTGCTAGCTCGAGCACACAGTGACGAACTGGGAAAGGGTGGTATCACAAACCAGGACAAGTTGGTTAAATGGCTGCAGAATGAACAGGTCCAGAGACCCGTGGTTCAGGCGACTTGGGAGGAATGTGGTTGGGCCAGGCACTCTGGTAGCACAGGGGAGGCATTGTCCATTCCTGGTGGGTAGGGGATCAATGAGGAGGAAGGAAGCACTCTTGTCTGTGCATAGACTAGGTTTGATTAATACACTGTCAGATTCCAAGCAGAGGCACAGCTGGGGCAGAGTGTTTGGGAACCTGTGTCTCTGTAGAGAGAACCTTGCAAAAATGAGCTTGGAGGACACAAGTCAGCCAATGCAGCCTCCTTTGAGGGGTTTCTCTGTCCTGGTGGATGCAGAACTGGTAAGGATCGCTCCTCTGTAGAGCAGGGCACTCTAGCACTCTGGTTTGTGATGGAGAAGGGGGCAGCAAGTGTAACATGCCAGACATTGGGGTGTAGCCAGCTTGGAGGGCAGCACTAGCCTGAGTACTAGGGGTGCCTGCCCAGGGGAGGGGTGAGAGGGGTCTTTGGGTTCTAGAGACGGGGCTACAGCTGTATTGATTCTAGAGGACAAACACGGAAGCCTGGGTGTGGAGGAGCATAAGACAGGGTCTGTGTCTTGCCAGTGAGTAGCGTCCCTTGTCTGCCCTGCTCCTCCTCTGTGTTCCCTCCCTGCTCCTCTGGCCTCTGCCTCTGCTTGGATCTGTGGTGTTGCTGAGGTGTCCTGGGTGGACCGAGGGCAGGATGAAGTATCTCTGGCACCTGGTGGCGGCTCCGTTCTCCTTGATCTCCTGTTTCTCGATTCACCAGGCAACATTTGCATTTGAGTCTTTGGGAATCCTGCAGAAGAGGAAGGGGAGGGAATTCATAAAGCTGTCCAGAGGTTCGGTCTCCTGTCTGCCTCATAAACCCTGGGAGTCCTGCCCTGGCTTGGTGGCAGCATGGACCCAGCAAGCAGCTGTCTTTGGAGCCCTCCTCTCTTCCCGATGGATCGCACCTTTTCTGCTTTTCCCCTCCCAGATTATTTCCATGGGCCGCCATCCACACCATACTTTGCAGCCCCCTCTTTGCCCCTCAGAGTTGCTCCCTGGCCTTATACTTAGAAGGAAAATGTTTTCTGCTCTTTAAATGCAGTGACCTCCTTACGTCTCACTGAGGGTTCTCCAGCTCTGGAGAGGGCATAGGTGATATTCCTTTATGAAAGGCTTTGACTTTTGATCTCAGATTTGGATTTGATTCTGATGGCCTGCTTGTTAGCATTTGGCCTCAGGTAAAGCAGTCAACCTCTCTGACCTTCTCTGCTCATCCTGGGGATGATCAGCAGCCTTGCAGCGTTGTTGACAGGGAAGCCTGCAGTGCTGTACTCAATAGTATCTTTATATTTGAAACTGAAAGACAATGGGACCCAGGGCTAAAGACTTCACGTTAGGCAGCTCAGAAGTGGGGATGTAGGAGACAGAATTGTGGGAGTCTTCAGGAGCAGCTTGCTATTCCTGGTCTCTCATTGCAATGTGGGATCCCTCAGCCTGCCAGAAAAAAGCTTAGTAACCTTTTTCATTAGCAGCTATAATGGGAAATCGGAGGACGGCTGGCTTGAAAAGAGGTAGCAAGTAGAACTGAGACCACAGCTGGGCAGGCTTTCCAGAACAGCTCTGAAGGGTTCCTGGTGTGCTCGTGCTCAGGGTGTCTGCGGTCAGAGGTTCTGGGATGCATGGCTCACCCCTCAGGGTGAGGGGGCCGTAAGAGCCTCTGAAAGCCCTGCAGAGGCTGAGGCCCAACTTCACATTCGTTGGCCCCGATGACTTCCCCTGGAACACGATCCTGGAACTCAGCTTCAGAAACGTTGAGCTGGACAATCTCCTGGTGTCTGTCTGGGAGCAGAGGGTGACTCTGTGGAGGATACGGGCTCTGGCCTCCTCAGTCAACGGGCCTCAGGGCTCTCAGTTTCCAGGGTGGATAATGTTGAATGTGAGAGCGGAGGGGAACTGAGAACAGAACAAGAGAAGGCATTAGGAAGGTCTGGCAGCAGCGTGAGGAGGGTCGACTTACAGGGTGGAAACCTTTACGGGAAGATAGGTACAGTTCTTCTATTCTGTCTCAGATCACGTGGACCCTCTTCACAGTCACTCTAGCCCTTAGGGTGGCTCTTGAACCCGCCACCACAGTCCCCAGCCTTGTATGTTGCCTTTTTATCCTCATTGGATTTGTGTCATTGTGATTTGAAAGTATTCTTTAATTTAGTGTCTTTATAGGTGAGAATATGTGTGTCTCTACTCGGAGCTGTGGCACATACCTGTAATCCCAGCACGTAGGAGGCTGAGGCAGGGGGTTTTAAGTTCCAGGGTAGCCTAGGTTACACTAACCAGCCTGCAAACAAACAAAAACAAAAAAGTGATCATCTGGTCTCTGGCATTCCTTTGTAAGCCACCCAAAGGTACTTGTGGAGTGACTTCCGAGTCACATGCCGGAAATAATGTTTATTCCCATGATAACTGAGGGCATGTGGTAGATTCAGACAGTAGGTGCCTCAGGTGGACCTCGCTGAGGGCGTGTGGTAGATCCAGACTGTAGGCGCCTCATCTGGACCTAGCCGGTGTCTCTGGCACACTGAAACAGAATGAAGCAGCTCTGGGCTTTCTTCTGTGTTCAGTTAGGGGGGAAAATATATATTTTTGGAAATAGTTGCAAAGCAAATGGAAATCATAATAAGATGGGAGAGCTGGGAGAGTATGTAAAATAAAATGGAAGCTCCTAGGAGCTAAGACTCAGTGCATGTTCCTAAACCATCACACAGAAAGACGCAGAGGAGCTAGAGGATGGCTGGCGGGAGGAGGGAGGCAGAAAGGGCTGTAGTAGTTGTGTGCACAGCTGAGTCTAAACAACCTTGTCACCTACCTGCTCTGAGGAGCCCTGGCCACCTGGCTTACGCATTGCATTTGGAAGGGAACATGGTTCTATAAGCCAAAGCCAAAGTCAGGGCATCTGTCTAGGCTCTCATTTGACCCTCCAGCTTTTTCAAAGCAGCCTCATAGATTGAATTGCAGACTTCCTTGTTAGCAGCGAGTTGCTAGTTACTTTAGTACTTAGCCATTATGCGTTTAGAGCTGCTGCATAGTACTTGGCAAAGTCCTCCCTGTGACTAGCAGGGTGACCACTATGGCAGTAGCAGCAGGTGCTGTTCTGAGACTAACAGTACTTATGCATGTGTTGTTTGGTATGTCACTTCTTTCAGGGTGGTCCATATCATGACATGTTGCACAGTATTTTGGGCGCTTATACTTGTTACCGGCCGGATGTGGGTTATGTAAGTTATGCTTCTCAGTATTTTATAATGTTGTCATCTGTAAAGTACTGCCCAGCTCTGAGGCACTCTGTTGAGTGCCTTTGTGTTTTTCTGAGGCATATGAAAAGTCTCACGATAAATGATTTGACTTTGTTTCCTCCAAGATACTGGGCTGACGTGGCTGTTTTGTAACATTCATTACAGTTAAATTTGATGCAGTGTTCACTTTTTACATGTGATTTTTCCCAACATTAAATTTAAAAAACCTTTACCATTAACCATTTTTCAAAACTGTGCCATTAACCTTTTTTCAGAATAGTCCCGTGACTTAACAGATGTGTATGTGTGCATGGTCTTAAGTAAACCTGTTACATGTGACTGCAGCGCCACTACATGGCATGGCACATACTAGAGGACAGGAGTTCAGATGTAAAAAGCCTACGGTGGGCTTGACTTATAGTTTCTGTTTGGAGGGGGTGGGGGCTGGAGGAAGGAGAACAGGTGGCTGATGGGGCAGTCATGGCTCTGAGGAGAGTAGATCAAGAGGAGTAGATCACAGGGTTGGGGGTTCAGATTTGGTGGGGTGCGGGCCATTTTAGCGGGAGGGTGTCTGGCTTCTGTTAGTGAAGGGAAGGTACTCTGACCTTTGTGGCCACTATTGGTTAATACAATTTTCTCTCCTCTCTCAGGTTCAGGGTATGTCCTTTATAGCCGCAGTGTTGATCTTGAACCTAGATACTGCAGATGCCTTCATTGCTTTTTCTAATCTCTTGAATAAACCCTGTCAAATGGCGTTTTTCCGAGTGGACCATGGCCTTGTGAGTATACTCTGTGAATGTCCCGAGTACCATGTCTTTATTCAACAAGAATTGCCTAATCATTGTTTCTTTCCAAGAGGAAAAATGCATATTCCCTCCACAATGAGATGTTTATAACAAGGAAACTTGACCTTAAGTGTGGAGACATGGCCCATAGCCACTTGTATGAATGTATTACTGTGTTCTTTGGACGGGGGTGGAAGGTGACTTCTGTGCAGACCTGTGCCCATTGTGTCAGGAAGGCCTAACAGCAGTGTCCGCCCTGGGTCCATGAGTAGAATGAGCACTGATGTGCGCTCTGCTCACTGTCCTGGTGGGACTCTGCTCCATGAAATACACTTGCCCACAGGAGAAAGGAGGTAGGCTTCAGACCACGCTCCTCTATTTAAAAAGAAGTGCTTCAGTGTGCTGATGTAGACGGTCTTTACCATTGGTGGTACTTGGGAAGCCCCAACGTACTTCACAGCTGAGTCCCCTACATGGTCCAGATGCAGGAATTATCTTGTCTGAGACATATCTGGTACATGGAAGAGCTGAGGTTTTAATCCATTTTCATTCCTAAACCTTCGTTCTTGCTAAACCCTGGAAGAAAAGTCACTAATCCATCAGCTTTTTAGGTTGGTGTTGCCTTGATTTCCTGGTCATTACCACAGTATATCAAGATCTAAACTACTAGTGTATGTCAGCTGTGGGATACTCCCCTTAATGTCTTGAGGACCTGCAGACTTTCCTTTTTCTGAAACTGCTGCTCAACTTGCAGCTGTTAAGGGGATGTTAGCCAGCAGGGTCCTTTAGGAAGACAATTTGATAACTGTGTTTCAGTAGCTGAGAGCAGCTTTGGTGTGTAGCTGTGCTAGTAAGAGTCAGTTCTGAGAAGAGTCATAAATGCAAACAAAGCAATACGCACAGATTGTCACTGCATGATTATTTATAATTGTAAATATGAAAACAGCTAAAAAAGGGGTTAAGGGAATTGGATGGTAAATTTAAAGCTTCCAAAGCACTCAGTGAAGTAGTACTGATGTGTACTGTTGTGTGAGGAAGTATTTATTTCCAAAAGTATGTAAAGTAGGACATGTGCTGTCATCACTCCCTATTTACTATGATGGAACATCCCACAGAATAGTGTACCATTATTGTATGGACAGGCAGTTCATGAATTAGTACTTTGTTGTGCTGTTTTGAGTCAAGTTTTGAGACAAGGCTTCACTCTGTAACCTTGTCTAATCTTGAACTTCTGATCCTCCTGCCTCAGCCTCCTAAGTGCTGGGATTGCAGGTATAGACCACCATGCCTGGTTTGTAGTACTTCTGTGTTTTCTAAGTTCCTTCACAGAGCAGTTACAGGGGTTACTTTCATAAGCAGGTAACCCTCTTGAAGGGGTTCTCTCTTGAAGAAAAAGGATGAGGGGCTGGAGAGATGGCTCCGTGGTTAAGAGCACTGACTGCTCTTGCAGCAGACCCAGGTTCGGTTCCCAGCACCCACATGGCAGCTAACAACTGTTTGTTAACTCCAATTCCAGGGGATCCAATGCCCTCTTCTGACCTCCATGGACATTGTACAACACAGGTGCACTTACATACATGCAGGCAATACACTCATACACATAAAATAAAAATAATAAGATATTTTTAAAAAGGGATAATCAAAAATGGAAAAACCTCTTTAGGAGAGAGTCTCACCCTGAAGAGCGTGTTGATACTACCATACTGAGTTTATATTGCTTGTTATACTATTCCTTAGACGTAGTTCCTGGATGTGGATTTAATGTTTTTTGCTTTGAAGACAAGGTTTTACTTGATAACCCATACTGGCCTTGAACTCATGATCCTCCTGCTTCAGCCTCCTGAGTGCTGGGATTATAGACTTGTACCACCAAGGCCCAGTTTTAATTTTATCTTTTTATACATAATAAAATGGTTACTGCCCAAGTTTCTGCTAATTTTGAAGATCCCAGCTTTTCTTTGTGGAAACATCATGAGGAAAGGAAAGCCCTGCATCTTAATGTTGAGTGGGGCCTGTGCTGAGGGCGGGTTTGTCCCCAGCAAACCCGTGGGCCAGATGACTGTGCTGTGCTGCTTCCCAGCTCATTGCAGGGTGTGTGTGACAGTCTAGCCTCTACATACATACCTGTCACTCCTTCCACACTTGTGACAATTACAGGTGTCTCTAGACATTGCCATACATTCTCCTGGTCTACAGTGTAGTCCTTTCATGAAAATGAGTAAAAGAAACCAGAGTTGGGCTCTGCCCTCTACACAGTGGGTGCAGTAGTAGACCCTCCATCCCCAGAGTAGTTGCTCCGTGTGGCGGGAATTCCCCTCCATGCTGCTCCACACTGATTTTTCTTTTTTTCTGTTCTTACAAAGCTTGTGAGAACCTGGAGAGGGAGCCCCACGGCTGGCCTGCTGCGCTCCCTTTTTCGAAGCGTCTTCACTCACATGTCCAGTCTGCATGTTTCAGCTGGAGCTCTGCTGCTCCAGCCTCAGGCTCTAGTCTGTCTCCCCAGGACCTGCCAGAGACTGGCAGTCAGCAGTCTTCTCAGATGAGGATGAGCCGCAGCCTTCATACATAACAGGCAGTGGTTCAAGACCCAGCTCTACCACATACTGGCACTCTGTCCCAATTTGGGGACTTATATAACGACTCTGGGTTTCAGTTCTCTTTTCTGTAATTTGTAGAAATAATAAGATGTGGGTGGAGCTGTTATTGTGGAGATAAGAGGTAGTATATATTTCTACTTTGGATAGCTCTTATAGACAAGTTCAGCAGTTAACATAGATAATTATTAGATGCTAAGGGTACACATAGCTTGACTGTTTTGTGGTTTGGAAACTTGTGCTGATAGTTTACTAGTGTATTTCTCATTGTCTCCCTAGATGTTGACTTACTTTGCTGCATTTGAGGTATTCTTTGAAGAAAATTTGCCGAAATTGTTTGCCCATTTCAAGAAAAACAACTTAACTCCAGACATCTACCTAATCGATTGGTAAGCCTGAGCCTCCCTGTTTTCAGAGCGCTTTCTCATCTCCGCCACCCCCCCTCTGCCCAGGAATACCTACCTGCCTTTAGTTCTCCAGGCTCTTTGTCACAATCTGTGGGGCTCCACGGGCTCTTTTGGACTTCTTGCGGGGTACAGACAAGGTCTTAGATCTATTTGTTTCCAAAATGCTATTTGCCCTCCATTAAGATGTCTCTGCGTAGCAAGTCCACAGATGCAATCAGAGAGCTTGAGCAGCCTGGCAGGGAGAAGCAGCGTGTGGGTCCCAGGGCTGTCTGGGCACTGCACTGGGAGAGAGGGAAAAGAAGGGGCCAGGGAGGAGGTGCCAGACCCCAGCCTAAGGGGTTGGGGGCAGGAGGAGGGCAGCATGTGGGGCCCAAGAGTAAAACAGAGCATAACAGCTGGACTGGTGGTGTTGGGGGCCAAAGTAAAGGGCCAAGGGTAAGGGACGGGATTTGGGAGGTCAGGCCTTCTCAGTCTCAGAGGCTAAGCTGTGGGCTTGGGCAGAATTTGAGGGGCCACAGGAGATGGTTGACAGCTTGTGGTTAGAGCACAAGTCAGCTTTAAGCAACTTGGGAGGCAGGAGTTCCCTGGGTAGAGAGCTCAACGAAGGAAAGCAGGAGCAGGTGGAGAGTAGGGACAGGACGCATTGGCAGGTCCTGGAACGTGCCATGGACTTGCCAGGGGGTCATGGTAATGATATCACTGAGGAGTTGTTCATGTCAGCAACTTAGATATGAGACACAGAGGGGCCAAATTCGACTTTGGGTGTGAGAATTTGGAGGTACTTGTGGGAGATCTATGTAACGGTTTCCTGAGACCTCCAAGGAGGCAGTTTCAGAGTTCAGAGCTGGAGCCCTAGACCAGGCATGTCTTCGTTCAGAAGTTGTGCACATTCAGGAGAGGGTGGCTGTCTCCCTTGAGTACATGGGATTGAGGGTCAGGTAAGGGGCCTGGAGACCTGAGTGCTGCAGGATGCAGTTGTCACGTGGTGGAAGAGTGTGCCTCAGGAGTCTTGTGTGTCCTGGCCAGACCTGAAGTGTATTGCCTTATGGTCTCCAAGAGCCAGGGAGCCTCTCTAAGCCTCCTCTGCTTATGCAGAGACCATACTAATTGGTCTTTCAGAGCATTTCAGGGTGACTGCTTTCTTCCCTGGAGAAAGGGCTTTTATGGGGAGAGATATCACTTGGCCCAAAGGCCTGTTGGGACTGTAGCACTAACTCAGAGGAAAGAAGTGACTGAGCACTGCACAGAGAGCTAGCTGGTTTGGCTTTCCTCTCAGTGTTCTTAAAAGATGTAAGAGGACTTGTAGAAGACATCTGAGTACTGTCCGAGCCCAGGCCAAACTTCTTGATAGAGCAGACCCGTTTGCATCTTGGGAGCATGTGTGGGATGCCTGGTATGTGTTGTTTCTGTCTTAACCCAGTGCTTGCTATGGTTCTAATGACTGTATGTGTGAGGGTTGGTGGTTGGATTCATTCCTGAAGCCATTGGAGCTGATGTGGTTGCAGAATATAACAGGCTTGGATTAGCTATCAGGGGGCATGCCACTGGCCTTCCTGGCTGTGCTGGGTAGGAATACTTGGGATTCCCTTTTAAAGGGCACCTTTATTCAAACAGATGATTTTTTCCCACCCCTGTGATCATTTAACTGTACAGGCAACTCCTTGCCATCCTAATTTTTGCATCTGTATTTGATTATCAACCTTAAACCCTCAGATTTCCTGGACTTAGAGCTCAGGATGGGAAGCCTCCCCATAGCCTGGAGCCTCAGCATCTACCTGGCCTCGTTGAGGGCTTCCACACGAATCTTAGAATTCTAGGCTGGGGAGGTTCATAGGGTCTTAGAAAGCTTTCACCTTTACTTACAAAAGGACATGTGCTACGTGGTGATCAATAGAATATTAACTTGCGTATGTGCTGGGAACAGAGGGTGCATGAAACAGAACCACCATGACCATGCAGAGAGTGTTTGAAATGTTCTGTTCTCTTCTGTTCTGTTAAATTTGCAATCTGCTGATGGCTGGCTGGGTCCTGAAAATCATGGCCCGAAGGAAAGCTTTGTCTGTCCTTGTCCCACCTGCAGGTGGCTGCATGTCCAGGGTGTCCATAAGGAAAGGGCGCTCCAAGGGGTGGTCCTTCTGGGACCTTGATGCTGTGGTGTGGTTGGTGCCTGAAGCCTTCTGAGTAGTGGGCCTTCTGAATGAAGTCCTGTAGTGTGACTTGTTTCTGATGAAATACTGGCTGTATTCTAGAATAAGGACCAGGAGGACACTGGCTGTGTGTGCATTTCAGCGCAGGGCTAGGAACACAGGTAGGAAGACCTCATTAAGTGCTGTACAGAAGCTGAACTGAGCACAGTTCTCTCTCCTGAGTTATCTTTAGACTGTTCACTGAGTCTTCAATAAGCCTAGCACTTGATTGGGTGCTTATGATCAAGTGAAAGCTCCATTCAGAAGCAGTAGGCAGCCTTGGGAGGATGTAAAGGACAGGGACGGCCTTTCCTGAGGACTAGCCCAGAGGGTGCCATGGGGACACTCACCGCTTTGTTTTGTCTTCATGATGCCTGGAAGAGGTCTCCTTGTGTCTGCACACAGGCAGTCGCTGTGGCTTTCTCCCACTTTTCCCTCTACTGTATGTGCAGGTCAGTCTGATGCCAGAGCTTTGCTTCTGCCCTGCGTGTGACTGTTGGGCTTGTCTGGAGTCACATGTGCCTGTGGCCAGCACAGTAGACATACTTTGTGAGCTGTGACCAGTCCCATGACTCAGGCAACTAACCGCTTAAGCTCCATCCTCTTCTCCCCAGTGGGGCCTAAAGGGCTTGGGTCACTCCAGGGTGCTCAGAGGAGAAGGCTACGTAGGTGGAGCTGCCTGGTAGTTCTGCTGTCTGCCTTCCTCCAGTTCCACCCACACTCTGAGGTGTCCATCTTTTGCTGCTCCTCCTAGAGCCTCATGGGTCACCTCTGTATCCTCAGGGCCTGGCCCCATGCTCAGCTCAAGTCCCAGGCCCAGGGCACCTCTGTTCCTCAGGGTCCCCTTAAGTGCCAGTGACTGAGGCCCACTTGTCCGCTTGGACTGTTGCATTGGCTCCTTTTCCTACAGCTCCTCAGCACCGAGCTTCATGGTAGAAGCTGGCTAGCTTACTTCCCTATTCCTGGAGAGGGCCCTTGTGTAACCGTGGCTGGTCCTCTAAGATCAGGACAAGGGTGTGCCAGCCTCTTCATTGGCCTTGGGAGTTTTAAGTGTTCTAGAGCTGGGACCACATTGTAATCAGGGTTCTTGAGAGACAGGGAGGGAGAGAGGGGGAGAGAGAGAGGGAGGGAGGGAGGGAGGGAGGGAGAGAGAGAGAGAGAGAAAAAAAGAAGTGGGGAACGGTACAGGGCTTACTGTCCTCTTCTAGGTACTAGAACAGGTACTGCTGGGCTCAGGGTAGGACTGCAGGCAGCATAAACATAGATATGGGTGTCTGACTATTTACAGGATCAGGGGTGTTTCTGGGCTTGGTGTCTGAATTTGGGTTGAATCTAGGTGACTGCTAGGCTTTGCCTAGGTACAAGTCTGCATTGGGAGTTGGCTACTGTTTTAGGCCTCAGAGCCTATGAGTTCTTACCTAGCCACCCCTATTGTAGCTGTTCCTGACTTTCTTAGGGACCCTGGGTAGGGTAGCAGCTGCGGATGCTCCTGAGCCAACAGTGGGTGAAAAGACTCATTCCTAGGAACCAGTCAGGCTAGAAATTGGTGCCAGGGCCTGAAGGTCCAAGTCTTAAGCTGTAGGTTCTCTTTGGACAAAACTGCTAGGTGACATTAACCCACACCTCAAGTTGAAATCTGCTTTTCAACCACCTCCCTTAGCAGTTTCATCATCTGTAACATGGAGGTGAGACTGCCTCCTCTTGGGGTTGTAGGAAGAAAGTGTGCTAGGATGGATGACCCCAAGAGGGTCCTGTGCAGATCTCTTCCATGAGTTCTTAAGGAACAACCTGGTGTCCACTCCTGAGCCTGTGACTGAGCCGGGTGGCTCCCTAGCCTGTGGAGGTGCTGTCCAGACACTGAGAGTCTGTACTCTGTGCACAAGTGGCACAGAGTCTAAATGTCGCTTAAAATTCAGCTGAGCACTTGCAGGCTTCTGGTAATGGATGGCTTTCACATAAAGGGAGGGTACACGGAGGGACACCACCTCCAAGCATCCTTGCTGCAGGGGAGAGGTAGTAAGGGGCTGCTGAGGACTGAGGTTTGTACCCCTGAGGCACTTGCAGCCAGGAACAGAGAGCAGGAGGAGCTTGGTCTGGGCTCTTAGAGGAAGCCCATGACTGGGATTGGCTGTGGGTGGCCCCTGACCCGAGCAGAGAGCCTTCTGGAAGCTAGTTGCTGAGAGACCTACTTGGAGCTAGCAAGGCCCTGAAGATGTGCAGGGGCAGGAAGGAAAGAAAAGTAATGGCGGCACTCCGTACCACACTGTGCTGCTCCGAGGGACACCGCGGGCTGGTTTGGATGCTGATTAGGGGAGGGAGTGCATGCCGTGCAGTGTGAACATTGACAGGAAACACTCGCTGTGATTATGTGAAGATTCAGGGAGGAGTGGGCCTTCTGCTAGACCAAGAGGTCTCTAAAGAAGCTAGGCATGCTGGTGTACACCTTGATCTCACGGAGACTCCAGAAACGTGAGGAAATAAATTTCCACATGTAAGCCAAAACAAGACAGGGCAAAACACCCCCAAGCAAAACAGCAAACAACTGGAAGCCTTTCTATCCTAAAGGTCAGAAAGCAGCCTCCCAGGGAACTCACCCAGTCTTAGACTTGAATGAGGAGATGTCGGTCATGTGAAATAAAGACGTTTTCTTTAAAAGGCACACAGATATGAAGGCATTACAACATTCTAAGCCTTGGTAATTGCATTTCCATATGTAACAAGCAGTGAGGGAGACCCAGGCCTACGTCCTCATGGGTGCATGCTGGTGGAGCAGCTCCCAGCTTTGTTTGATTCTTCAGCAGCAGTGTGATGAACATTTGACTCTCGGATCCTTGTGGTCCTTTCTTGGCCTGGTGCCTTCTGCACACAAACCATTTCCACAGGTTTGTCACTGGCTCAGAGCTTTTCCTTCAGTTGCCAGTCAGTCCATCCACCATGTGAATGTCTGACTCTTGAACATGTCTCAAGCTCAGTCTTGTTCAGACCAGAGAGTTCATGAAATGACACCTCTGTCCTTTTGGTGAGTCAGAGACACAGGTCCAGGGTTGCTCTCGCTTTCTGTGGCTGTGTGGGTTGTACCTGCTTCCGGTCACCTCCCCTGCTTCCACTAGGTTCCATTCGTGGATTCCTGACCGTAGCTGCCCGGGCCCTCGGCTCAGCCCACACCTCCTGCAGGTGCTGTCAGCAAGCTGCTCCCTCAGACCTCCACTTGTTTCCCACTTCACTCAGGACAAAGTCTAAAGCCCTTGGAACAGCTTGGAAGGCCCTGCACCTTCTGGGCCCTGTTTTTCCCTATTCACCCCTGGCTGCCCTGCTGCCCTCAGACATGTGGTCTTCATGAACTCTGCCTCAGTGTTGGGGAGCATGCCTGGAGTTCCTCTTGTAGCTTGCTCCTTCCTCTTCAGGCAGATGGAAGCGCCTCTTGGCCACAGACTTTTCTCTGACCACTCATTTAGAAGCGCATTTGCGGGAATACCTTGCGTGCATGGTGCAACCCCTTTAGACAGTCCCTTTCTCTTCTTAAACCTCCCTCTGTGCTTTCTTTGCCCTTCTGCCCCCGAGGGCAGGAATGTTGTCTGTTTTGTTCAGTGTGTCTTCATCACCAAAGACCAGTATACAGTAGACTTTAAAAAAATATTTATGACCCAGGACTCAGAGACCTGAGGCAGGAAGGTGGCAAGTTTGAGGCCAGCCTGCACTACATTTTTTTTAAAGATGCCTGGGGCCTGGAGAGGTGGCTCAGCAGTGTAGAGCTCATGCGCTCTTTTAGAAGGCCTGAGTTCAGTCCCCTGCACTCACATCAGGCAGCCCACAGCTACCCATAACTCCAGCTCCAAGGGATCTGACGCCTCTGGCCTCCACAGCACCAGCACTCATGTACACATACCCACACACAGACACATACATATACATAATTAAATATAATAAATCTTAAAAAAAAAAGAAAAAGGCTGGTGAGCTGCTTCGGGTCAGAAGGGCTCAGCCTTTCGGAGGTGTGTCCAGGCCCAGGCCGGTGGGTGTGTTGTGGGGAGGTGTGCCCAGGCCCAGGCCGGTGGGTGTGTTGTGGGGAGGGGGCCATTCTAGTGCTGGCTCATTCCACCTGAAGGAGTTGATGGCAACCCATGAGCAGATCTGAATTCAGTATGTGCTACATAAGAAAAAGAAAAAAAATCTAGTTCACCTAATGGCTTTAAAAAAAAAAAAAAAGCCGGGTGTGGTGGCACATGCCTTTAACCCCAGCATTCAGGAGGCAGAGGCCGGCAGATCTCTGTGAGTTCAAGGCCAGCCTGGTCTACATAGTTCCAGGACAGCTGGGGCTACAGGGAGACCCTGCTACAAAAAGACGAAAAAAAGAAAATCCGTCGAGGGACTCCCTTTTGTTGTCGCTGCTGTAGCTGTTCTCTCCCCGTCAGCTTTTCCTTAGGAGCTGCTTTAAGGATACAGGGAGTTTGGCTTCCATTTGTGCACTGATACCTGCCAGTGGGTGTGAAAGTTAGGTTGCTACATTCTTACTTTTGGTTATTTTTATGGTAGGGTCCTGCTCTATTCCAGGCCAGCCTCAAACTTGCCATCCTCCTGCCTCGGCTGCTCAAGTAACTGGGATTATAGGTGTATACCACCACACCCAGTCTGCTTCTCCACCTAGATTCACCTGATGATAGAAGGCCTTCGCCCTGGGACTCAGTTGACTTACCACTGTTGATAGGTAGTTTGGATTGTGGTTATCATAGAGAGAGAGAGAGAGAGAGAGAGTGCGAGCGAGCGAGCGCATGCGCGCATGGACATTTGCAGGCCAGTGGTCAGCCTCAGGGGTCATTCCTCAGAAGCTATCCATCTTATTTTTGAGACAGTGTCTCTCATGACCTGGAGCTCCCCGAGTAGGCTAGCCTGGCTGCCATTGAGCCCAGGGATCTGCCTGTTGGTCTCCCCAGCTCTGGGATTACAAGTGCATGCTACTGGCACCTGACTTTTTACATAGTTGCTGGGGATTGAGCTTCATCCTCATGCCTGCAAGGCAAACACTTTAACACTGAGATATCTCCCCAGCCCTGATTATCATATTTTTAAAGGGAATATATTCCATCTGATGGTTTGCATTATTAAAATGTAAGATCAATTTTTAGTAATCTACTGTCATATTTATTGGGGAGAGCCAGACATAGTGGCACATGCCTGAAATCTCAGGACTTGGGTTGTTGCAGGAGAATCACACAATCTAAGCCAAACTAGTATGCCGTGTAACTAGATGCAGTCTTGAAAACCAAAGAGCAGCAGCCGTTTGGGAAAAGTGAATCTTGTTCCATTTCAGACGCCTGCTGGAAAAATGGCGGACAGCACTCTCTCGAGTCTGTTCTCCTGTTCCTGTTCCCTGGCTGCCCCTGAGCTCCACTGAGATTTATCTTGTCTAATTACCATTGTGTGCAGCACCTGCCTCGGCCAGGGCCTAGTTCATACTCAGTGGACACCTGCTGGGAGAAGGTGTGACCAGTGTCAGTGATTCAGAAGCTGTGTGGCGGGTGATAGTGTGTGGAAGCTGCTTTGTGTACAGTGTAATTGACCTTCAGAGTGAGTCCAGGCCAGTGCCCTCCACGTGTCAAGGGACTGACTCGGTGCTGTGTGTGCTTGGAATTCAGGGTCCATTTTTATACCATCCCAAACCTGAAAGCTCTGCCTCTCTTCAGGATCTTTACCTTGTACAGTAAGTCGTTGCCCCTGGACCTTGCCTGCCGCATCTGGGACGTGTTCTGTCGGGACGGAGAAGAGTTCCTTTTCCGCACAGCTCTGGGCATCCTGAAGCTGTTTGAGGACATTCTGACCAGGATGGACTTCATCCACAGCGCGCAGTTCCTGACCAGGCTGCCCGAGGACCTGCCAGCAGATGAAGTGTTTGCAGCCATTGCCACGGTCCAGATGCAGAGCCGGAATAAGAAGTGGACACAGGTAAGCGGGTCGCCGGCATGGCCACGGGACTAAGGCGTTTGCTGCTTAGTGAGTCTTTTGAGAAGAGGGCATCTTGGACGTGGTATTCAGGCTTGAGGGGCACAGCCTGGCTCTACCTCAGCGATCCTCTGGATTCCTCTCAGCTGGAGGGGTATAGGAAGACCACCCCCACTGTGCAGTGACAGGGCACAGCCATTGAACTTCTAGGTCACCTCTGTGGGGCTCAGCGTGCTCGAGAGCATTTAAGTAAGCTACATTCCCTGCTCCCTTAAAAATTTGCTTTTACATTTGAACCCTGTGTGAGCATGAGTTGGGGTGGGAACACGTACTACATCCAGCTTGAGTGTGGAGGTCAGAGGACACCTGGGACAGTCAGCTCTCTCCCTTCACCATGCCGGTCCTGAAGATTGAATGACGGTCCTCAGACTTGGTAGAAAATGTCTTTATGCAGTGGGCCATCTCATTGGCCTCCTTCCCCTTTAAAACAATGCCAGAGACGGCTGAGGGGACTGAAGGGACTAAGAGGCCAAGCCCCCGGCCAGGTCTGTGCACTGTGCAGGATGCTGTGTACTTGGGAAGTAGGTGGGATCAACCAGAGATGTAGCAGTCACCGAGGAGGCCCCGGCCCGTCTCCGACCTTCTGATGTGCTGCTCTGGCCCTGTCTGAGCAGCTCTGCCCTGGCCTAGTTCTTCATTCCCCCAAGTCTTCTCAGAGGCCTTCCCCTGTAGAATTGACCAGTGTTGTTTGGCCCCAAGTGTCATCATGCTAAAGAGGAGACGGTGTGGTTTGAACTCCTCCATGTCCTCAAAGTTACCTGATAGTGGGGCCTAGTTGGTTGATTAGTGTTCATTTCTGACTTAGGTTTGTTATTAGTGGAAGACTGTTTATGTGTGTGTGTAAGTAGAGACCATCTTGGATGTCATTTCTCAGGAGCTGTGTACCTTGTTTTTTTGAGATTGGTCTCTTGCTCACCTGGAGCTCACCAGGTAACTAGGCTGCTGTCCAGCAAGCCTCGGGATCCTCCTGTCTCCACCTCTGGAGAGGCTGGATTACAAACATACCGCACCTAGCCTTTCACATAGGTTCTGGGATTCAAACTCAGGTCCTTGTATCTACATGAGAAGTACTTTACTAACTGAACCATCTCCCCAGCACTGTGTGTGTGTGTGTGTGTGTGTGTGTGTGTGTGTGTGTGTGGTGTGTTTATTGTGTGTGCAGCAGCAGATTTAAAATACAGAACTAGACTAAAGCTTTAGGAAGGAGCCCCATGCACGTGCCATCCTGCTTCAGTGACCTGTTACCCTGCCCACATCTCTCTACATTGTAAAAGCAGTCTTAGGCAGTGTGTCACCTTTAAGTGTTAATACATCTCTCAAGGCACTTTAATTTTTTTAAAAACTTAATTGAATTTTTGTGTATTTCATATAGAACATCTTAATCATCTTTATACCCCTTCCCCATTGGCCCGTACCTATCCCCTGCCCTCCCACTGGAGTTCGTATATTCTGTTATTTCTGTTAAGCCCTATCATGTCAAGTTAGTGTCCCCAGATGTCCCTCAGTGCAAGTTCATCCTCGGAAGTCTAGTAGTCTATCTAGAGTCAGCTCTTCCTCACTCAGCACTAATCAGCTGCCAATAATTCTTTAAGATTGGGGTCTGCTGTCCATTTCCACAGTTCTGTGCTGGGGTTTTGTCTGCTTGAGTTTGCATGGGTCTTGTGCATGCTGACACCATGGCTGTAGGTTCATATGAGCAGTGTCCAAGGAGCCTGTAGGACTCCGTTTCCATATGGTCACGTACCTTCTCCCTGACTCTTAAAACCTTTCTGCCCCTTCTTCTGCAGTGGTCCCTGAGCCCTGGGTGGGTGGACCTTAATATAGGAGTCCTGTCCAGGGACCCACACTCTGCAGACTCTATTCTCTACGTTTTGGCCATTTGTGACCTTTTGTGTTCCTGGTCCTCTGTTAGATGAGGGAGCTTCATTGACAAGAATTGAAAGATGCGTTAGTGTTCTCTTCATCCTTTGAAGCCTTAGGTGTAGAGGCTGCATCCTAGATGTGCCACTTAGGCTTGGGCAATCCACAGGCAATCTCTGCCTTACACCAGTGGTGTAACTCTGTAATTATCTCTGTCTCTTGAAAAAGAAGCTTCTTTGATGGGTGGTGACTGGGACACTTGTCTGTATTTTGCACATAGTAAGAAATTACATTTGTCTAGGGATGTGACAGCCTTGGGGTTTTCTCTAAGATCTATGACCTCTCCAGCCATGTGTATTTGGCTGGGTTTACAGTACCACACAAGTTTCCTTTCACTGAGTGGGCTTTAAGTCCAATTAGGTCGCTGATTACCCCCAAGATAAAAGTGCCACTACCGCAGCAGTGTTCTTTGCTGTGCCGGTCACTGATGTGGTTTCTAGGCCTTGAAGCTGGGGTTGGACCAGCGATCGATGTTCTCCCGTAGCAGCTTGCGTAGTGCTCTGCAAAGCTATGAGAGCTGGACTTCAGGGGAGGTGGCTTCCCGGTCAGTTCTGGCTTCCTGCTCCAAATCCTGTGTCCAGAATATATCCTGTCATCAGCAATAGGGTCTTACCTTAAAGTTCTGGGAGACCATCAAAGGCTGTGACAATAGCTTGTATAATTTTGGGAGTCTCTTGGACCACCCTGGCCAACAACTCAAAGGAAGGTTTCTCCTGTCTGGCCCTGTTTCTTGTTATGTGGCCTTCAGCTGTACACACAGACTCATGTAGAGATCTTGTATGTGTAATTTTTTTAGTAGGGTTTTGGACTAATACGATGCCCTCTTGTTTTTTTTTTTTTTGTTTTTTTTTTTGTTTTTTTTTTTTTACATTAGCTAGGCATTATTTATCTTTCCTCTCTCTCTTTCTGTCTAACCCTCCCTCCATATCCTCCCCATTTTCCCCATTTCTCCATTGATAATTCCTGTCTGCTATGATCCCACCTCTCGAGCTCCTTCTTCCCCTTTATCCCCATAGTTCCTTGTACAGCCCTCTCTCTCCCCCTCCCATTTAAATGCCCCCGTTTTACCCATTTCTCCCTTAGTAACACCCATCTCCTACTGTGCTTCTCTCTTGGGCTCCTTCTTCCCCTTTTCCTTCCTGGTTCCTTTCCATTTTCCTGGTTCCTGCACTTACATCTGGATACATACTCATATATAAGGACTTGGTGCTAGGACCCACAAATGAGGGACAACATACGTCCTTTGTTTTTCTGAGTCTGTGTTACTTCATTTAGTATAACAGTTTCTAGGTCCATCCATTTACCTGCAGATTTCATTTCATTCCTGTGATCTCCCCACTGCATCCCTGTGGCCCTCCCTCACTGCATCCCTGTGGAGCTCTCCACTGCATCCCTGTGGCCCTCCCCCACTCCCACTGCATCCCCGTGGCCCTCCCCCCCCCCCACTGCCTCCCCGTGGCCCTCCCCACTGCATCCCTGTGGACCTCCCCCCTGCATCCCTGTGGCCCTCCCTCACTGCATCCCTGTGGAGCTCTCCACTGCATCCCTGTGGCCCTCCCCCACTGCATCCCTGTGGACCTCCTCACTGCATCCCTGTGGACCTCCCCCACCCCCACTGCATCTCTGTGGACCTCCCCACTGCATCCCTGTGGACCACCCCACTGCATCCCTGTGGCCCTCCCCACTGCATCCCTGTGGACCTCTCCCACCCCCACTGCATCTCTGTGGACCTCCCCACTGCATCTCTGTGGACCTCCTCACTGCATCCCTGTGGACCTCCCCACTGCATCCCTGTGGCCCTCCCCACTGCATCCCTGTGGCCCTCCCCACTGCATCCCTGTGGCCCTCCCCACTGCATCCCTGTGGCCCTCCCCACTGCATCCCTGTGGCCCTCCCCACTGCATCCCTGTGGCCCTCCCCACTGCATCCCTGTGGCCCTCCCCACTGCATCCCTGTGGCCCTCCCCACTGCATCCCTGTGGCCCTCCCCACTGCATCCCTGTGGCCCTCCCCACTGCATCCCTGTGGCCCTCCCCACTGCATCCCTGTGGCCCTCCCCACTGCATCCCTGTGGCCCTCCCCACTGCATCCCTGTGGCCCTCCCCACTGCATCCCTGTGGCCCTCCCCACTGCATCCCTGTGGCCCTCCCCACTGCATCCCTGTGGACCTCTCCCCCCCCCACTGCATCTCTGTGGACCTCCCCACTGCATCTCTGTGGACCACCCCACTGCATCCCTGTGGACCTCCCCACTGCATCCCTGTGGACCTCCCCCACTGTATCCCTGTGGACCACCCCACTGCATCCCTGTGGACCTCCCCACTGCATCCCTGTGGACCTCCCCCACCCCCACTGCATCTCTGTGGACCTCCACACTGCATCCCTGTGGACCAGTGGCCCTCCCCCCCTCCCACTGCATCCCCGTGGCCCTCCCCCACCCCCACTGCATCCCTGTGGCCCTCCCCACTGCATCCCTGTGGCCCTCCCCACTGCATCCCTGTGGCCTTCCCCACTCCCACTGCATTCCTGTGGACCTCCCCACTGCATCCCTGTGGACTTCCTCACTGCATCCCTGTGGTGGCATTTCTGGGTTTCTCTGTGTGTTCTGTAGTTTGGCTGAAGGCCATTCTCTGGTTTAAAATTTGTTGATGTTTGGCAAGGTTACTTCCTAGTAGTTAGGCTGTCCCTTAATTTTTTTGCGGGGGGGACACATGTATTTATTTGTATATGTAGCAGGGAGCTTTCGCATGTAGAGGTCAGGAGACAGCTTGTGGGGTTGGTTCTCTCCTTCCACCATGTGCGTCCCAGGATCAAAATCGGGTCTTCAGGCTAGCTAACAAGCACCATTATTCATTGAGCCATCTCACTGGCCCAGGAGATTTTTCTTTCTTTTTTAAATTTTATTATTTCTATTTTATGTGTATGCGTGTATTGCCTGCCTGTAGGTAAGTGCACCCGTGTCATGCAATGCCACGGAGGTCAGAAGAGGCTGCCGGATCCCTGGAACTGGAGTTATAGACAGTTGTTAGCTGTCATGTGGTGCTGGGATTTGAACCCGGGTCTTCTGCAAGAACAGTCAGTGTTCTTAACCACTGAGCCATCTCTGCAGCCCCGAGATTTCTTTTTCAAGTGATGAAAGTGCTCTGAAGTGGACTTCTGGTGAGGTTTGCACATATCTTTGGCAATCCCCCAAAGCACTGGCTTACATACTTTACTTGGGTGAGCTGTGTATGACTTGTACTTCAGCAAAGCTCGTACAAAGGGAAACTCGCTGTGTGGTAAACAAGGAGCAGTCTGCATATAAGCATGGGGCCTGGGCTCTATAGTTAATGAAAATCTCAAGAGGGAGCAGCAGGGCCCCTCTGAATTCTGAGTTAGGGACCACGTGGGCCACATGCACTTGTGAGAGTGTGCTTTGGGCTGGCTTGTTGTTTATTGTGGCTATTTTAATCCAGATGGGAAACCAGGCCTTATCTCACAGACAGGACTGCACCTGCCCTGGACTAGAAACTTGAGTTATCACAGCTGATGCTCTGTCTACCGTGGTGCTTTCATGAGACCAAAGGGCTCATGTGTCACCCCCACCCTGACTTAAGCTACCCATGTGAAATAGGCATGTGCACTCAGACGGAAGGGTTTAGCCCAGGTCTTGCTTCTTGTGTTTTAGGGACTAGGTTATAATTAAGTCATGGGCTATTTGAGTAGCGAGACATTTTCTCATTAGCAGGTTAGTACTAGTTGAGAGCCTGATTGTGGTAGTGGGGGGCATCAGTGAGCGTGTGCAGTTCAGCCCTCATGAGAATTGTGATCCATGCATATTTCTCTTGGATTCTGTTTGAGTTTAAGGTACTGTAGCTCTTTCAAGTCAGAAATATTTAGATTTGGTTGGCAATCCTGTTTTCTTGAAGGCAAGAGGCACTTTTGTTTCTGTCTCACTCCCGTTGTACAACTTACTTGAAACCTACCGAGTAGGCTTCTGCTTCACCCTGATCATCTGAGACTCAGAACGGCACAGAGCTTAGTAAGTCCTCTGCAGCTGAGGGTCCCATCATTTTGAAATCAGATGGGGCTAGCTTGAGTGTCTGGTTATAGTTCAGGTCTCCTAGACCTCTGCTCCAACATAGGTGCAGTGGCTGGTGTGCATACTGGAGTGCATACTGGAGATTAGCTAGAGATAGCATGGGTGGTTGCCATGGTGGAAAGATCACTTGGATGCAGGGTTGGTAGCCAGCCCAGAGAACAGACAAGTAGAGGAGAGCTGCCGGGGAGAGCCTGGCTGCTGTTTCTCGGTATGTTCCAGTGAGTGTGCCCTGTGTGTTTACTCACAGTGTCTGCTCTGTGATTCTAGGTGCTGGCTGCGCTGCAGAAAGACAGTCGGGAAATGGAGAAAGGAAGCCCCTCCCTCAGGCACTGAAGCTGCAGTGGAGCTTCTCTCTCGCTGAAGCAGATCTCCACATGGCACTTGTGTGCTTCCAGACTGACACCCCAGAAGGACAGGGGCTCTTTCCACACTGGATTTCTGATGCTGGAGTTGGCCTTAAAACAGCTTTTAAAGAATTACACCCAGGCTCAGCCTTAAGCAGCTCCATGGACCTGCACACTGGCAGTGACTGTGACCAGCCACTGCATCTTCCACATGGGTTAAAGAGGGCAGTGCTTGTGTCCTCCTCCTCTTCATTTCAACAACAGTCAATTAAATTTTAATGCCATTATAACAACTGGTAGAAAGTACATTACGATCTTTCTTAGATGCATGAGAAATGTTATTTGAGAGATTTCAGAGATGTTATTGGCTCATATCATGGATAAGGAATTCCTGATTTAGTTACTGACATAATCTGTCCAGAGATGAAAGGTATGTTTTAAAAACAGGCCTTGCAGAGTAGTTGGTGGAGAGTGCTCGTGGACTCCTGGGATTCCACTTGAGCTTCGTGCTGACATCTGACCATGTGGCCTTCACACAGTATGGCAGGAAGGCCGAACATGCGCCTTCCTGTTACCCTTTCCTGTTAGGATCCTGTTCTCAGGCACCTGTCCCCGAATCTTTTGAGCCAGGATGGGTTGGAGCAGAGGAGATGTGTGCCAAGAAGACCTGGGACAGGAGAAATGTGCTCTTTAAGGCAAAGGGCTGGAGAGAGTGCAAACATAGTTCCTTTCTTGCCTGCTTGTTTCTGGGAGGCTGGGTGGAAGCCTCTGGAAACACTGTCGTGTGGGAGGCTGCTCCCGTGCGTTGGCAGAGTGCCCTTTTTGCCTTCGTCACTTGAGCAGCTGGATCCATCCTAAGTGCCAGGGACACCCCTGCCCACATCTGCTTTAGCAGACGTCTTCACAGACTGCTGTAAGGACTGAAGAGTGAGACAGCCTTACCAGGGTTCTTAGCGTCGACACCATCAGCCCTTCCCTGTGTTAGTTGATTTTCCTAAGCTCATTCCGAAGTGTTTTTCTTGTTTTTCTTGTTCTAGTTTTTCCTAACTTGAACTTCGTATAAGAAATTTGACCATCCGACTTCACAGAAATGAGCAGAGTGATGGAAGGACAGTCCAGTGTCTCTGGAAACAGGTTCCTAGGGGTGCAGTCATCCAGCCAATGCTTATGCGGATAGTCCACACCCTCCTCAGCCATAGACACTACCCCCAGAAATCATCCACCCATGGGGAGCCCTTGACTCTGACTGCAGCATGTGGCAGGGAGACTCAGGGTGCGGTGGAAGGCCTTGTGATGACACGTGTGTGTTCCCTCCATCTGTGGTGCTTGTTGGTGATGGTCAGTGCAGCAGCAGGCCGTCACCCTCATGCCCTCTGCCCCACGTTACCTCTTGTCCTTTTCCCTGCAGTCTCATCTGTAGTCTCACGTGATTTCTCCAGGGAGGCTGCAGAGCACCCTAGACACAGCCCTCTGTATCAGCCTTGAAAGGCTGACTTGCCTGCCCCTGGGAGGATGCGGTCTTCACTGGCAGTCCAGTGACTTCCAGACCCAGCCAGCCTGTGAGAAGTGGACTGCTCAGCCCAGTGTGCTGTCCTTCCTTGCACATGTACTTTGGTTCCATGACATGGGCATCTGTTCTCTCAAGATGTATATATTTTCTTACTGTACATAAAGACATTCCTTAAGTCATACAGAAAGTGTTGTGACAAGGGGGCTTGGGCTTGTTCAAAATGCCATTGTGAAATTCCCCATGTGTTGACAACCCACCTCTTACCCTTTCCTGTTAGACATAGATCTGTGGGCACTTAGGAGTTTTCAAACAAGACTCCATACCAATCTGGAGCACTGACCACTCTCTAGTCCAGGTAAGGGTTTCACACCTCTTCAGGGCTCCTGTGAGCCTGATGTGTCCTCCTCAGAGGCCGTAGAGTTCCTCGTTCCTCTGCACTGAGGGCCCTGATACTTGTTATTTAGGCAAACTGGAAGCCAACCCTGACACGTGCCCTGCAGAAGTCTGCACCTCCCATCTCACCTGCCGTTGACTTTCATTCCCCGATTTGAGGGCACTGGGCAGCTCGCTCTTGGGAGCAGCTGCTCAGTTTTTGACTATTTTGGATCGCTTGCCGATAGGAGACTTCTGGTAGCACTTGCTGCGTATCATGTTTTAATTGCTTGTACAGTTAATCTTTAATTTTATTTAGTAAAGTGTATCAAAGTAGGACTTTTTGAATTGTAAATACGTGGTTTTATTAAAATAAAGTCATGTAAAATTGTCACTATGCTCTCACTGTATGTATGCTTTGGTTTAAAGTTGTGACTCTTGTGGTGTAGCAAACATTTTGCTGTTATGTTACTTATTTTAATGTCCAGGCACCTAGCTCATGAAACAAAAGAACATGGGACAGTTACTTTAGTCATGGGATTCCAGACTTGGGCACAGCTATGCTGAAACCCGCCACTTGTCACTCCCATGAGAGGGAGAGGCAGTCACACTTTGCCAGCTGGAGACCCACACTCTTAACATTCCCTCAGGAGGATGGTGGGAGGATGTGGGAGCTCCTTCCTGTGAGCCACTGGGAAGGTGGCTCTTTGGGTGGGAGGGTCCAGAGGCTACTTGGAATCAGGCAGGACAAAGGCTCACTGTGAGTGAGTCTCCTTCCAGACCTCCCAAGACTGCTGGGAGACTGTGTGCCACAGCCTCTAGCAGGGACTGACACAGGGCTGCAACTTCTCCAGACAGCTTCATTCTCTGAGCTGTTCTTTGTAGTCTGTGAGGTGAGCTGATAGACTGCAAGGTTACTGAGGGCTGGACGGCTGCTCTGGCCTCCCCAGGCTTTGGGCCAAGTGCTGTATGTAAATTATTTACTCTCTGACTCGTCCTCATTCCAAGTACAGGATACAGAGAATGACTTGCTCAGGCTCCTACAGCAGGTAAATTGGTATGAGCCCAGAGCCTGAGTGCTGGCTCTTGAGACACGGTCTAGGGAGGAGGTCATGTTAGCTTTGGGGCCTTTGGAAGCTTCCCCTAGTTCTCATCTCCATCCAAACACTGCCCTGGGGTGTGACCTGGACCCCATTCCTTTGGGTTTCCTGTATGTAGGAGAACACTGGAAGAAGCCGTGGGAACTTGCTGTATACCTGTGCTGTCAAAACATGGCAGCACAGCAACTTCTGAGTGCCCTGGACTGGAGGAGTGGGGCCACAGGTCAGAAGCTGCCCATACCAAGCTGGCTCTGAGGTGACGAATTGCAGCACCGGAGCACAGCAGCAGAAGACAGGTGACACTTCTGGGCCTTAAGTGGCGCTTTTAGGTGGACGAGGGGACGGGCCTGACCAGCAGAGGACACCTTACAGCCGAAGACCAGTTCTTGGTAGAACCTACTGAAAACATGGAGGAACCATTCAGGCTTTGCTACCTAAGGGAAGTGGCCATGGCACACAGCGTCCACGTACCCGTCAGCAGTGCCAGCTTGCTTTGGAGTGACCTGCTCCCTGGGCAGCACCAAGCCAAGGCCTGTTCTTAAATCAGCTACCAAAGCCACCTTCTGTGGGGGAACCACCTTTTCTTCAGATAGCTTCTAGCCTGTTCTGGAGCTCCAGTAGAAACTGCTCCAAACCAGAAATAAACCTGATAGTAGCTTGCCTAGACTAGGGCAAGCACAGTGTAATAAATTCATAAATACGAGCCTGAACTGTACAATAACCCACAAACATTGTCCGGGTAGCTAGACTTGTGCCCTTGGCCTGTAAACTTTTAGTATCTCTTGTATGCCTGTTTGTGACAGGGTCTCACTACATAGCCCATGCTGGAATTACAGGTGTGTACCATGAAGCCCAGCCTGAAGTGGTGTGTAGGTGTGCACTTTCCAGTTCAGTGCTGGGGATCCAACACAAGGCCTTGCACGTGCTTTGAGTTACATCCCCAGCACTTTTAGTATCTTGCACTTGTGAACTTAGGAATTTAAAAATTTCCCCCAATTAAATACATAAATTAGAAGTGGTTACAGAAAATCACAAGAAAAATATCCCCTTGACTTTTGCCACCCAAAGAAGGTAGTTTCCATATTTTTCTACAAACTTTTTTCTTTTATAAGCATTTTACAAATGAATAGATGGTTAGACAGGTTGTTCCATCCTGGGTTGTAGATATTTCCACTTATGTAATTTAAGGATCTTAGTTTCCTTTTCTCCTACCTTGGGCTGACCCTAGTAGCTGGTGGAGGTACGGACCCTCCCCTAATGGCAAAGCATTATAGGCATTCAAGTAATGTTCTCAGGCAGTGATGAGAATGCTATTGGGTATTAATACCCAGTGAGTTTATTGGGTTCATCCTATGCTGGCTACTAGGGAGGATGGTGAACACACTGTCTCTCCTAGAGCCTTTGTCTCTCCAGGGTGTGGGGTACAGGAGCCCCAGGAGAGTAGGGGACAAAAGGCTGGTGGGGCTGCAGAGAGCACAGAGTGAAGCAGTGTGATAAGGAATGCTTAGGGTCTGTGGAATGCTCCCTTTTAAGTTAATATTTGTGAGTGTGTTGCTCTTTCCATGTTCGAGCACTTGTCTATAATCTAATTGGAACCATGCGGGAAGGTAATCAGATGAAGAATGTCTTGTAATTGTAACATGTCCAGCCCTTGGTACTGTACAAAAGGTACTATAAGGGCCCACTGGTGACCTGTGCAGTTGTTACTTAGGACTCATTTGTAACTTCAGGCAGTGCCTAACCTCATCAGATTTCTCTGTCTTGGTGCTTCCGATCCACTGCTCTCCATGTTCAAGGCTCATGAGTATTCACTGGGGTAGCTGACGATGGGTCGGAGTCAGCTGAAAATACCTTTCCTCCCTATGCTGCACCAAAACCACAGAAGGACACAATCATGATCAAGCCCCTTGCTTGTCAAAATAGCCAGTTTCACTTGGAGCTTCCCTAACCGCAGAAACCTCTGCTCCTAGTGGGAGTCACAAAAAAAGAAACATTTCCAGTCGCAATAATTTACTGCTTCACTTTGGCTTTGATAGACAGGATAGAAAGAAAACCAAAACGGTAGCGCTTAAGGGGGATGGAAGCCGAAGGCAGCTGTGTGAACTATTATTATTGTAGTCTGTGGTGTCATATAAGATAGTGTGTTTAAACTATGGAAGTTAGAAAAGGAAACATTCATTGACTCTGTCAAAGGCAGTATACTTTGGGAAATAAAATTGTGTCATCTTTAGAGGTTGTCTAGTGCCAGAAGCCAGATGGTTGGTACTGCAGATGGTTCAGTGGGCGAGTGCTTGCTTTAAAACATGAGGACCTGAGTTCAGATCTCTTAACACCCATGGAAAAAAGCTGGGCTTGGCCTCATATGCCTTTAACCCCAGAGTTGGGGAGCAGAGACAGGTAGATCCCAGGATCGTGCTGGCCAGCCGACCTAGCCAAGACAGCAAGTTTCCAGTTCAGAGAGACCTCAAAAGTGAGGTGCATTTGGCTTCCACATGCATGCACAGACACATGTGCACATCCTTTGTAAGATCCACTTACGTTTAGGAATGAGAGAATACTATGTCCTGAATGCAGCGTCTGTAGTCTGTGTTGTCAGCAGCTTCCAGTCATTTTTTTGCACTTGGCAAAACTAGTATTGAGTGTGCAAGTGCATAAGCATGCACACACACACACACACACACACACACACACACAAAGGGTATTAGTGAACTAATTGAGACAGTGATTCAAGACTACATAGTTTAAAAAGTCCAAAGAAGACTGAGTAATTAGACCAATGTACAGGAATCTTTGTCCCTTGCCCACTGACCCTTACACCATCCTTACATTCAGTGGAGGAACAGTACCGCCTTAAGGCTCAGCCCTTGATTATGGGATTGCTGAGCTGTAAAGATTTTCATATATCAGTTTGATCGCCCCCTTTTGTCTCTCTAGATCTATTTTCATTAACCCCATGTGTAACTATTGTTAACCGAAGGTGCTGGCTGAAAACTGATAAAATAGTTCCATCCAAGGTATCCCAGGCTTTTCAAAGAGCAGAGGAGCACGGCGCGGTTTGCTGGGCTCCTGCACTTTCTGCACACAGCACAGGCTGCAGGACTGTCAGCTGGGGAGGAAGGCTTTGGCTTCCCCGATCTTCTGCTTCACACCTTTACAGGACAGGGTGAGCCCGGCATGGTGGTGCTTCAGCGATTCCAGACGACGACTGAGCAGTTCCGTCTTCTCCACCTTTTCCTCCAAGTCCCTGAGGAGTGATTCCTTACCCAGAAGCCCACATTTCTGACTGAGTTTAATGTTGTCAATTTGCAGGCTGTCTCGGGCTTGCTTAGTCTTCGTCAGGATGTCCCTTCCTAGGGCTACCTGAGCATCAACTTCCAGAAGCTGGGCCCTTTTGCACGAATTCTCCATATCCACGAAGTGCAGCTTCTCCTTCACGTGCGTTATTGTTTGCACGTTATTGGTCACCTTGTTGCGCAGTTTCAAGAGTTCCTCGTTTCTTTCCTCCACTTTCTCGTTGAAGATCTGGTTCTCGATCTTGAGCTGCTCGAAGTCAATGAGCAGCAGCCCTTCAGCCAAGTCCTGCTGGGCCTTCATCCTGGTTTCGAAATGCACCAGGCTCCGCCTCAGCTGCACGTTCTCCAACCGCACGGCGCTCATCTCCTCCTCCTTTTTGTCCTCCAGCGCCTGGATCTGCTCCACCTCGCGTAGGGCAGCCTGGCGCCCACCGCGCAGGCGGCAGCTGCCCATGACCTGCATCACCACCTGCTTCTTGAGGGCCTGGAATCGGCGCCACTCCTTCTCCACCATGGCCCGCCTCTCCTGGCACAGCCTCTTCAGCTCGTGCACCTCCTGGCGGTACCACTCCAGGTCGTCCGCCTCCTGTTTCTTCAGCTCCTCCAGCATGGCTAGGTATCGCAAGTAGGCGCGCTCCTTGTCGGGGGACTCGGGCTCTACCCCCTTGTCCCGGGCTTCGGCCGCTTCCAGGCCTTTCTTCCGCAGAGCCTCGCAGATCTTCTGCTGCAGGTACAGGTTGTAGCGCTGGTAGCGGTTCCGCTCCACCAGCAGGGCGTGGTACTGGTCTACGAGCTCGCCACGCAGCTGCTGCTCCTGCAGCTTCTGCACCTCCAAGGGCCACTCGTAGTCGTCGTCGGACTCGTCGTCCTCCTCCCGGTCCTGAGGATGCTCTTCCCTGCTCTTCTCGTGGCGTTCTCCAGCCTCCTGGCCGCCTTCCCTCGCTCTGTCCTCGGACTCCCTCTTTGCTCTCTCTTTCCAAGCCTGTTGGACGGGCGCAACCCCCTCCTCGACGATCGTGGTCAACGGCAGAGCGGGCCGGAACCGCGACTCCTTGCTCTTCGCCTTCCTCGCCTTGTCCTCCGACTTCTCCCACCCGTAGGGCCCCTCCTCGGTCTCGTAATCGGACTCCGACTCGGGCTCCGGCTCCCCGGGCCGGGCGTCTCCCGAGGTCTCGGTGGCCGCTTCCAGGGGCTCGACATGCCGGTAATCGCCCCTGTCGGAAGGCTCCGCGTCTGCCTCGGGCTCGGGCTCCGCAGCGTTGGCCGGGATGTGGCGTTTGTAGTCCACTGTGGCCTCGGACAGCTCCCTGGACCGGCCTTCCTCCGCTCCGCCTTCGCCCTGGGTGTCCCCGTCGTGGCTGTCCATGCTCACCCGCCGTGCCGGAGCTGTGGCTCGCTGCGACCCCGCAGTTAGGTTTCCCGGGGCAACCGGGGCGCGCGCGCTGGGCCCCGCGATTGGTCGGCCGCCCGGCCCCCTCCTCCCCGCCTCCCGGCCGGAGCAGGCCAACGAGAGCCCACGAGCAGGCGGAGGGGGCTTCTGATTGGCTGCGAACGCCACGAGGGGCGTGGCCCGCTCTCAGGACTTCCGGTAGGTTAGGGCCCGCCGGCTAGCCGGGGGCGGGGCCTCGCGGGCAGGCTCGCGGACGCGACGGCTGGTGCGGGAGCGCGCAGGCGCAGAGAGGTGGGCTGGCCGCCCGCGAGGGGGCGCACGCGG